CTTTGTCTTTTGGTGGGAGCATTTAGTCCATTTACATTTAAGGTAATTATCGATATGTATGTTCCTATTCCCATTTTCTTAATTGTTTTCTGTTCATTATTGTAGGTCTTTTCCTTCTCTTGTGTTTCTTGCCTAGAGAAGATCCTTAAGCATTTGTTGTAAAGCTGGTTTGGTGGTGCTGAACTCTCTCAACTTTTGCTTGTCTGTAAAGGTTTTAATTTCTCCATCAAATGTGAATGAGATCCTTGCTGCATAGAGTAATCTTGGTTGCAGGTTTTCCTCCTTCATCACTTTAAATATGTCCTGCCAGTCCCTTCTGCCTTGCACAGTCTCTGCTGAGAGATCAGCTGTTAACCTTATGGGGATTCCCTTGTGTGTTATTTGTTGTTTTTCCCTTGCTGCTTTTAATATCCTTTCTTTGTATTTAATTTTTGACAGTTTGATTAATATGTGTCTTGGCGTATTTCTCCTTGGATTTATCCTGTATGGGACTCTCTGTGCTTCCTGGACTTGATTAACTATTTCCTTTCCCATATTAGGGAAGTTTTCAACTATAATCTCTTCAAATATTTTCTCAGTCCCTTTCTTTTTCTCTTCTTCTTCTGGAACCCCTATAATTCAAATGTTGGTGCATTTAATGTTGTCCCAGAGGTCTCTGAGACTGTCCTCAGTTCTTTTCATTCTTTTTTCTTTCTTCTGCTCTGCAGTAGTTATTTCCACTATTTTATCTTCAGGTCACTTATCTGTTCTTCTGCCTCAGTTATTCTGCTATTGATCCCATCTAGAGTATTTTTAATTTCATTTATTGTGTTGTTCATCGTTGCTTGTTTCATCTTTAGTTCTTCTCGGTCCTTGTTAAATGTTTCTTGCATTTTGTCTATTCTATTTCCAAGATTTTGGATCATCTTTACTATCGTTATTCTGAGTTCTTTTTCAGGTAGACTGCCTATTTCCTCTTCATTTGTCAGGTCTGGTGGGTTTTTATCTTGCTCCTTCATCTGCTGTGTGTTTTTCTGTCTTCTCATTTTGCTTAACTTACTGTGTTTGGGGTCTCCTTTTTGCAGGCTGCAGGTTCGTAGTTCCCGTTGCTCTTGGTGTCTGTCCCCAGTGGCTAAGGTTGGTTCAGTGGGTTGTGTAGGCTTCCTGGTGGAGGGGACTAGTGCCTGTGTTCTGGTGGATGAGGCTGTATCTTGTCTTTCTGGTGGGCAGGTCCATGTCTGGTGCTGTGTTTTGGGGTATCTGTGGCCTTATTATGATTTTAGGCAGCCTCTCTGCTAATGGATGGAGTTGTGCTCCTGTCTTGCTAGTTGTTTGGCATAGGGTGTCCAGCACTGTAGCTTGCTTGTCGTTGAGTGAAGCTGGGTGCTGGTGTTGAGATGGAGATCTCTGGGAGATTTTCGCCATTTGATACTATGTGGAGCTGGGAGGTCTCTTGTGGACCAGTGTCCTGAAGTTGGCTCTCCCACCTCAGAGGCACAGCACTGACTCCTGGCTGCAGCACCAAGAGCCTTTCATCCACACGGCTCAGAATAAAAGGGAGAAGAAGTAGAAAGAAAGAGAGAGAGAGAGGGAGGGAGGGAGGAGGGAAGGAAGGAAAGAAAGAAAGAAGATAAAGTAAGTAAAATAAAATAAAGTTATGAGAGGGAGGGAGGGAGGAGGGGAGGAAGGAAAGAAAGAAAGAAGATAAAGTAAGTAAAATAAAATAAAGTTATTAAAATAAAAAATAATTATTAAGAAAAAAAATTTTTAAGAAGAAAACAACAAAAAAAACGGACGGATAGAACCCTAGGACAAATGGTGGAAGCAAAGCTATACGGACAAAATCTCACACAGAAGCATACACATACACACTCACAAAAAGAGGAAAAGGGGAAAAAATCATAAATCTTCCTCTCAGAGTCCACCTCCTCAATTTGGGATGATTCGTTGTCTATTCAGGTATTCCACAGATGCAGGTACATCAAGTTGGTTGTGGAGCTTTAATCCGCTGCTCCTGAGGCTGCTGGGAGAGATTTCCCTTTCTCTTCTTTGTTCTCACAGCTCCCAGGGGCTCAGCTTTGGATTTGGCCCCGCCTCTGCGTGTAGGTCGCCGGAGTGCGTCTATTCTTCGCTCAGACAGGACGGGGTTAAAGGAGCCGCTGATGCGGGGGCTCTGGCTCACTCAGGCCGAGGGGAGGGAGGAGCACGGTGTGCGGGGCGAGCCTGTGGCAGCAGAGGCCAACATGACATTGCATCAGCCTGAGGCGCGCCATGCGTTCTCCCGGGAGAGTTGTCCCTGGATCCCGTGACCCTGGCAGTGGCGGGCTGCACAGGCTCCCCGGAAGGGCGGTGTGAATAGTGACCTGTGCTCGCACACAGGCTTCTTGGTGGCGGCGGCAGCAGCCTTGGCGTCTCATGCCGGTCTCTGGGGTCCGTGCTTTTAGCCGCGGCTCGTGCCCGTCTCTGGAGCTCCTTTAAGCAGCGCTCTTAATCCGCTCTCCTTGCGCACCAGGAAACAAAGAGGGAAGAAAAAGTCTCTTGCCTCTTCGGCAGGTTCAGACTTTTACCTGGACTCCCTCCCGGCTAGCCGTGGCGCACTAACTCCCTGCAGGCTGTGTTCACACTGCCAACTCCAGTCCTCTCTGTAATACAGTTTTTTGGATAAAGAAATAAATGGAAAACTGAGTTCAGTGCAAGCATGTTACGAGAAACTAAGGGAAAGAGATTCAGAAATAATTCATTTAACGAACAGTTACTGGGTAGGTACTTACTGATGTCAGATATTGTTTCAGGGATACAGTCCGAGGGTTTACTGTCCAGGAGAGGGGAACACACACACACATTGATGCACATCCACAAATACCATTAGTCTAAAAGAAGTCTATACAGAGAACTGAGGGTGAATAGGAGAAGGACGGGAAACACTAATTTAGCAAAAGTTTCTCTGCAGCACTGGAGTTAGGATTTAGTATGGACTCAGCAAGAGATGAGACTGAAGAGGTCGATGGGGACCAGATGATTATGTCCTCATCTTAGGAGTTAGACTTCATCTTTTAGGTATCAGGGAGCATGAAAGCACCATAATTAGATTTTTATTAAGAAAACTGTTGCGGGTGGGGGAAAATCTCTTTAAAAAGTAGCCTGGAAGCCTAGTCTCTGCCTTCATGAAGCTTTCAGTGGGTAAGGAGGGTGGGGCAGAAAATAAACAAGTAAATAAAACAGTAATTGTCACAGATTCTAGGAAGGAACCAAGGTGTTGAGATAGAGAATAATGATTTGTGGGAGTTACCTTACTTTAGATAGGTTTGCCACTTTTAAAATGAGACCTGAAATATGAAAAGGCGCCAGCTGTTTGAAAAGCCTAAGGAAGAACATTCTAGGGAGAAGCACAAGCATGTGCAAGGGCCTGGAGTTGGGATAGAGCTTGAAATTCTGGGAACTGCAAGGCCCGGTTTAGCTGGAATGTAGGGAGAAAAACAACATAGAAGGGGATGGAAGAGGAATCTATAGAGGAGATGAGAGGGAGCGGTCACAGAAGCAGGAAAAAAGGCAGGAGAGAAGGATATCATGGAAGCCACAGGAGAAAAGAGTCTCAGCATTATTATGCAGTACAGAGTGGTCTAATAAGATAAGGTGGAAAGGGAGTCCTTGGGAATTGGCAGTTACAAGGTCATTGATGATTTTGGTCATTGCCCACTCAGAGAAGTGATGTAGGTAGAAGTCTTCTTTTTTTTTTTTTAAAGTCAGGAGATGTCACATTAAAGTCTCCTTTTTTAAAACAATTATTTATTTAGTTAGTTAATTTTTGGTTGTGTCGGGTCTTAGTTGCAGCACGCAGACTCTCTAGTTGAGGCGCGCGAGCTCAGTAGTTGTGGTGCGTGGGCTTAGTTGCCCTGCAGCATATGGAATCCTAGTTCCCCGACCAGGGATCAAACCCACGTCCCCTGCATTGGAAGGCGGATTCTTTACCACTGGACCACCAGGGAAGTTCCGGTAGAAGACTTCTTACAGCGGATTAACTACACTAAAGCTATGCTTTCCCTTCCTTTATTTTCATACTAGAGTATCTTGCCCAACAAGATTTGGTTTAATCCGGTGAGACTATCGATGAGATCTTTCAATTGCCAACTAGAAAACATTTATTAAACTTTCATTATCTGCATAGCATTGCACTTGGTGTTACGGTGATAAAACGAAGATAGGTTCCTATAATATGGGTTTAAATTCAATATTCCCAAGAAATAATTTTGCAAGGGTGGCCCTCTAGCTTCACACTCCCTGAGAAACATCCATTGTGTGCCCTGGAGTAGCTTACTACTTGCTTCCCTAGACATGTAAGCATGGAAGATTGTAATAAGCCTATGTTATACGTATAGTTTATTTTCCACAAAACAGAGTGAATATGTTCTCAAGGTAGCAGCCACTTGCCTGTTTTGAGAATTAGTTACTTTTTTTTACTCTTTTTCTATGCCAACATGTATTTTGATCAACAGTTTATGAATAGAGGATGCACATGTTTATGTTTGTGTGTGTACACTTCATCTATACCTCATTTTGTTTAAAGATCAACTTTATTTGCTGAATAGATGCCTGGTATAATTTTCTCAGCATTTGGAAGTTCATAATATAAGGAACTGTTTAAATATAAAGCAAAAGAGTAAGTAATGCAGATTGTCCTAACCATTTTTAAGGCCCAAATTGAGACCCATCAATCATTCATCATTTCAGTCATTCATTAATTTAATACATATTACTGAGAACCTACTCATCTTCTTTTCCAGACCATTATGAGCTTTTCTTAGATCCGTAGCACTTATAGTCAGTACCTCACATTTTTGTAGAGACTTGTATACTGACTTGCATCGTTCTGTCATTAGTACATGCTGGTCTTTATGTTTTTAACTAGTTTGGGTTCTCCAGAGCGGAGCCCTAGCCTTACGTTGATTTTGTATCCTCAAAGCACCCAGCATAGTTGTAGGTGAGAATATAGTAGGCACTTGGTAGTTGATTGACTTTTATGATTGGGTTTTCAGATACTTACTTATGTTTTTCCTGTTCTTCAGTTTCCCTCAGCCTTTTTCAAAGGAAGGGTAAACATGTGTGCTGCATTTTGCTATGAGGTTTTAAAGTGCTGCACATCAAAGATTAGCTCAACCAGGAATGAAGCCTCTGCACTTTTGTATCTTCTGATGAGAAACAACTTTGAGTATACCAAAAGGAAAACCTTTTTGAGGACACATCTGCAGGTCAGTGAAAACCAAAGCTCCTCTTCTTTCTTCTATTCAATCTTTAGCCTCTATGTCAAGATCTAGAGCTACCCAATCCAGTACAATAGCTATTAGCCACAGGTGGCCATTTAGCACTTGAAATGTAGCTAGTCTGAATTCAGATCTCCTGTAAATATAGAATACACATTGGCTTTTGAAGACTAAGTACAAAGAAGTAAAATATCTCAATTGTTTTATATTGACTGTATGTTGAAATGATATTCTGGATATATTGGGGTAAGTAAAATAAATTAAAATTCACTTGTGTCTTTTTAATGTGGCTACTGGACAATTTCAGATTACACATGTGACTCAGATCATATTTCTGTTGGGCAGCACTACTCTACAGCATAGGTGTTAAGAGCATAGATTCCAGATTCCAGGACTATCACACACTGTGACCTTAGCAAGGGCTTCCTTAGCCTCTCGGTGCCTCAGTTGCCTCATATGTAAAATAGTGGTAAATATCCCTACCTACCTCGTAAGGTTGTGGTGAGGATTAAACGAGATGATTAAGTAACAAACAAAGCACTTGTACTTTTCATGTTCCAGCATGCCCAGTTAGTAAAAAAAAAATGAGAGAAGTCTCAAGGTTTAGTAGAAAGCATGGACTTTGGAATTGGACCTACCTGGGCTTAAATCATAACTCGGCTACTTACTTACTTATGTGACCCTAGGCAAGATACTCAATTTGTCTTAACTCTTTGCCTCATCTGTAAAATGAGGCCAAGTATGTTTCACCTTGCAGGGTTATCATGAGGGTTAAAAATAAAGTGTGTATGGTGCCTGGCACATAATAGACACTGAGTACGTGGCAGTTTTTCAGCGTCTCCATGTTTTTTAGCTTATCTGGTGAAACAACTCTCTGAATTAAACAACAATTGGGACTTCTTGGCAGTAGCCCTCTTCATGATATGGGAAATGCTTGGTCATATTTCTGTCTTCACTGCCTTGGTCTGGCCCGTTGCAGTTGTTTATTGGAGACTGGGTTATAAATGAGGAAACAGCCATAAGCAGCTTTTTAGAAACGTCGTCAGTGATGTGAAAATCTGATAGAAGTATATGCTTCCTGTAAAAATCTTCTATATAGTTACTTTTGGGTACTAGGGCCAGCATTATATGTTAGGGTGTCTAATATTTGCTTTCATAGAGGTGTCACTTGAGTACCATCTTCCCCCAAAACATTTCTGCAATTAGTGTTCTGGTGTATCTGAAAATTCCCCAGTAGGGTCCATTCTTCTGGGTTAAAACATCAATTTTTCTCAAGTCCTTTATTCAAATATAAATGAATTAATAAATGTGCAGACTTAGAACCAGGTTCTAAGTGGTCAATAAAGTGGTTAAGTAGTAGTATTATGATTATGATCTCTTTAATCCTCATAACAGCTCTATAAAGTAGGTATTGTTATCATCCCCATATTGCAAATAAGGAAAGTGAGGCACAGGAGGGGTAGTTAACTTTCTCAAACCCACTCAGTGAATAATGGATAAAGTCAAGATTTGAATCTAGGGCAGTTTCACTCAAGAGCCTGCACTCAGCTCCTGCAGTATCTTGCTTCTCCAGATCAGGGGTAAAGCGTCCAGCCACTAACACCTTAGCCTGAATCATTTAAGCATTCAACCAAAGGAGCCTGAGAAATTAAAAAGCACCATTATGTTATATGATACTGCTATCGTTATGTAATGTATATGCCATAACATATACTGCTATCTAAACTAGATAGGCCCTAGTCAGAAACAAAGAAGGGAGCTGAGGCGCTGGAGTTGGAAGTCCAGCACACTGAAATAGACTAGTGAAAAGAAATGAGAAACCATCAAGAAAAAGGTCATTTATTCCCAACTTTGCCATAGCTACTACGTAGCAGGCATATTGAAAGTAGAGACCTGACCACCATTGTATTAGTTCACTAATTATGAAAACAGTTTTAGATCTAGCTGTGCCATGAGTTTGGAAGGTTTTTCACATCTAACCAAGAAAAGTCCCAATAAAATTTGTAATTAGGAACCTCTGAAGTTGCTGTTTCAACAGAAGAGTTTAAACCCCTCATGTATGAAGAAAATAGATTTTGATGGAACTATGTAGGATCTTCAAAAGAAGAATTTCATATGAGTGCTTATAGGTTTGTACAATGATGAAAATAAGCAGCATTTGTGCAAAAGACATTTGAAAAAATGGTGTTTGCTTCTTCCCACAGATTATCATTGCTGTAAGCCAGCTGATAGCTGATGTAGCACTAAGCGGAGGATCGAGATTTCAGGAGTCTTTATCCATTATCAGTAATTTTGCAAATAGTGACAGACCTATGAAGGTATGTTCTCACTTCAAGTAAAAAGTTAGAACTACGTTCACTGTCAGGGAAGCTTACACTCCTCAAGTTAAACTGTGTGTTGGATTTACAATTTTTATATAGTGTAGAGTTTATAGAATGTGAGCTTCACAAGTCAAAGCTTTGTCTTGTACACCACTGCACCTCTAGCACCTAGAACACTGCCTGGTACACAGTGGATATTCAATATTATTTGAATGGATGGATCAATGGCTATACTGTGTATACATAGTTATGATAGGATTCCAATTTTTTTCTGGGCTTGATTTTTAAACTTGCTCAGAAAAGAAATGGGTCCTTTCTTAACAGTTGTTACCATTTATAAGATTGGTTAATTAAGCATTGAGTTTGAAATTTCACAAAACCTCACTTATTAGAGTAGCTAACAGCTGCCTGATCCTTTGCCAGCAGATAAGGAGTGGCACAGAAGGGATTCCTTATTTGATGCTTTTCTGAGTTTAAAGAATCATCTGTTAACTGGGGCTTACCAGAGATACTTATTGGCAAATCCAAGTCCAAGGCTGTCATTCTTAGGCACCAGCTGGCTGAGGCCAAACCCAAGACCCTGACCACCATTCCTCTTTCCAAGCTATATGCTTAAAACCTATAACATTGTGAAAATTCATTTTTTGTTTTGTTGCATGGAGAGCAGGTTCTGATCTTCAGTGATGCATGCGTACAAGGGAAGAAGAATCCTTTGCCAGTAGAGAACTTTTCCTCCCCGAGGAATCATCCCCATTCTTGGGAAAAGTCATCTTTCAGCATAATTTGACAATTTGTGTAAAATCTGGGAAAAAAAAAAAAGCCCACAGTCACAGCATACTTAATGTTTGGGATGTGTCGAATCTTTGTACCAAAAAATATTCCCATAGGAATGTTGCTGAAACTGAAAAAAACACTGAGTAGTGCCAGCCATTGTCAGGCTGGGAAAGTTTGCTTTTCAGCCAGTGCTGGTTCCTCGGGAGATCAGTATATGCTTCAACTAATCCCATGAGCACAGAAAAAGCTTATGTCATTTAGGATTTTTTTACTTATACCCTAAGAGTTTATTTTTACCAGTTCTTACCATCCTTAATTCCATGTTACGTAAAAGTTGGGTTAGCAACTTTTTCAAAGTAAATGGGGTCTGTTTTAGCCCTCCTTGATAGGAAATCTTTTTCATGACTCATTTCTGAAATGACTTAGTTTTATCCTGGTAGGGAAGTCATTACCAATAAACTCTAGTACAACAAAGTATAGCTTTCTCCCAGTAAATGGAATCTCTATTAATGTATAAGAAGAGACTTTACATATATAATTATTTTTAAAAGTCATCTTTAAAGAAGGCACTTTTAAAAATAATTTTCTCCACATTTGGTTATATTCACATTGAAAGGCTCCCAAAGCCCTGTACCTGTCCCTTACTCATCTTCTCTGAATCCTACAAATAATTGTGATTACTCCAGTGGGGTTAATAGGAAGCAATAGGACTTCCTTAATAGTGCCCAAGATAAAGAGGAAACTCGAACTTCGTGTTTTTGGGTACAGACACGTTGAGAGAAGTTAATGATCTCTTTAAACTCTTCAGAGTGTTCTGTGATTCATAAACTCTTATTTGCATAATTGGAAATTTTTGCAGTATGGTTTTCACCTTAGTGTATATGGTAGTTGGTAGATGGGATAAGTATGCTTGTCGGTATGGAAGAGTGACTAAGATCACTAGCTTTGGAGCCAAACTGCCTGGGTGTAAATCCTGTCTCTACCACTTACCAACTGCAAGACTTTGGCCAAACTACTTAACTGCTGTGTACCTCGGTTTTCCATTGGTAAAATGAATTATAATAGTACTTAATTCATAAGGTTGTTATAAAATTTAAAACATGTAAAGCACCTAGGCCACTGCCTGGTGCATAGTAAGCTGTCAATTTTTAGTTACTGTTGTAACTAAAATTACACAATAAAAGTGAATATAGATTACACTCATAGCTGTAGAATTCACGGTGGAGGAGCTGGGGTTCAAAGCCAGGTAGACTGGCTCCGAAGTCCGTGCTTTTATGTATTCTGAATATACTGCCCTCAAACTCATTGCTTTTGAAGCCTGAGCTAGTGAGATATATTTTAAAGAATTAATTTAAAACTCTTTAGGCAAGCTACATGCCAAGAACCAAGAACCAAATACCAAGATCTCTAACAAGGGGTTAAAGTTGTGTGTTATTCCCAGGATTGGATGCCTAGGCTTAGAGCGCACTGGTAATATTGATAAACATGTCTTTTTTGTTTGTTTTGATATTAGGCAACTGCTTTTCCCACAGAAGTTAAAGACTTGACCAAGAGAATCCGTACTGTTCTTATGGCCACTGCTCAAATGAAGGAGCATGAGAAAGACCCCGAAATGCTAATTGATCTCCAGTATAGCTTAGCCAAGTCCTATGCAAGTACCCCAGAGCTCAGGAAAACCTGGCTTGATAGCATGGCAAAGATTCATATAAAAAATGGAGACTTTTCAGAGGTGACTACTTATGGCTTTGTTCTAAACACAACCCTGCAAAACCCTGGAGCGCAATCTGACAGTTCTTTCTTTGTCATCCTTTTTCAGGCAGCAATGTGTTATGTCCATGTAGCAGGTTTGGTTGCAGAGTTTCTTCATCGAAAAAGTAAGGCATTTCTGTTCTTAGAGATGGGGAGGACTTCAGTTAGCACAAGAATTTTTATCTTTGTAGCTTGCACCTGTGAATGTGATACGATTGAGCTCTGAAAAATGTGTTTATACCTGTAGCCTTATTCACTGTTAAACAGAAGTTGTTATAAAAGAAAACGGGATTGTTCATTTGCCTTCTGCTTTCATTAAGAGTACAAGAATAAGCTATATAGTACAGGGCCAGGCCTGATGCCCAATGTTTATTCTCCAAGACTGTCTCCCTGGAAGACTGCCACAAATGAAATTCTCAGGGCTTATGAGAGGCCCTGGATAATACACACCACTTATTTTCCCCTATCTGCCTCAACTTTACCAACAACTGCCCACAAATTAGATCTCTACAGCCACTTTAGTGCAACAATATCTTGGTATTAAAAGGGAGTTGGCACATCAGCAAGATGGCCTTATAAGATGTCCCTCGTTTGTATACCCATCTCAACAACAATTTGGCATCCCTACATGGACGTAAGTGCCTTTGTGGGAGTTGTGGGATCCAGCACCACATGCCAAGGGACCTGGGAGGAATTTTACCCACCCATGCATCAGGTAATAGGCAGACAGATCTGTGTCCTGTCTGTGGACCCTGCAGTGGCCTATGAGCTGCCTCCAGCCCCTCTCAGCTGCAGTCCGGGATCCCCTGGAGAACACTGTCTTTAGATAATCACCCACAGATGAGGGAGCCTTGGGGGAAGTCCAGAAGTCCAGTGGAGAAGTTCCAGCGTGCTGTCGGAGCAAAACTTGTACAAGTTTGAATACACTGGAGAGGATAAGAGGAACAGTTTGATTTCACTCGTGTCACCCTTTCCCCAAGGTGGCACAGCTCAGTGCCAAGAGAGACTTTCTCACCGTGATTTCTTCTGCAGGGAAAAGTGAGAGCATGTGAGTGGGTACTGCCTTTCCCAGCAGTGCAGATGTTGCCAAAGAGGCCCATTTCTCTCCTGCCCCATCGAGAGTACTGAGTCATGAACTGAATGAGTGGGGGGCAGGAAGAGGCTGGGAGCGCAGCAGATCGGACTTAGAGGGCATTACAGGGACACAGATCCTACTAACCGCATCACAGACTCCATCAAAAAGCCCACCAACAAATTGCTGGAGACATTTAGCCTGTGGATCCCACCCAGCTGGCCCACAGGCACCCCTGGTGCTCCACGCGCCTCAACCACATACTGTAGCTGGATCTCTGTGCGTGCTCCTGAAGGCAGATGGCTAGTGAGCATGTGCAGAAAACCAGCCAGAATCGGTGGGCCAGGGAGAGACCATAAGCTTGAACTTTAGAATCACCCTTGGGAGATCAAATGGGAGGCTGTTAGCACCTGGCCTGGTGTATTGCATGATGGAGAAAAGACATACACGCTTAAGAATTCTGTCATAAGAGGGAGCGAGAACCGTGGAGCAGGTGTATCCATAGCAGGGCTGTGAAAGCCTCAGAATCCCCAGGAGGACAGATGGAAAGTTGTTCTCTCCTAAAATCAGTCAGTAAAGTTGGTTGGAGGTAACTGCTACTTCAAATGTGAAGATAGCAATGGAAGACTTCAAGGAACGTGAGAAATGAAGGAAACATGACACCACCAAAGGATCACAATAATCTCGTAGTAACCAAACTCAAAGACATGGAGATCTGCAATTTATCTAATAAAGAATTCAAAATAGCTCTTCTAAGGAAGCTCAGTGAGCCACAATAAAACAGAAAATTCAACAAAATCAGGAAAATACACGAACAAAATGAGAAGTTAAACAGAGATAGAAATCTCACAAAAAAGGACCAAACATATTCTGGAGCTGAAGAATACAATGAATGAAGTGAAAAAAACCGCAGTAGAGAGTATTAACGACAGAATGGATCAAGCAGAAGAAATAATCTGAATTAGAAGACCGGACTTTTGAAATTATCCAGTCAGAGGAGAAAAAAGAAAAATGAAAAAGAGTGAAGAAAGCCTATGTGATCTATGGGATACTATCAGCAGAAACCTTACAGGCCAGGAGAGAGTGGGATGAGATTTTCAAAGTGCTGAAAGAAAAACAACAACAACTGCCAACCAAGAATACTCCATCCAGCAAAGTTGTCCTTCAGAAACGGACAGATGAAGGCTTTCCCAGGCAAAAGCTGAGGGAGTCCATCACCACTAGACCTGTCTTCCAAGAAATGCTGAAAAAAGTTCTTCAAGCTGAAATGAAAGGATGCTTATTAATAACATGAAAACATATGAAATGTATCTATATGAATGGATAAAGAAGACATGGCACATATAATCAATGGAAAGAAGGAAATCCTGCCACTTGTGACAAAATGGATGGAGCTTGAGGGCATTATGTTAAGTGAAATAAGTCAGAGAAAGACAAATAGTGTACGATCTCACTTACACGTGGAATCTTAGAAAGCCAAATTTGTAGAAAAAGAAAGTAGAATGGTGGTAGCCAGGGGTAGCGGAAATGGGGTAATTTTGGTCAAAGGGTACAAACTTCCACTTAAAAGATGAGTAAGTTCTGGATATCTAATGTACATAGTGATTATAGTTAACAGTACTGTGGTATATACTTGAAAGTTGCTAAGAGTATAGATCTGAAATGCTCTCACTCCCCCCAAAATGGTAATTATGTGTGGTGATAAACACTACTGTGGTAATCATTTCACAATATATACATGTATCGAATCAACACATACACCTTAAACTTACGCTGTGTGGGATATCAATTATGTCTCAATAGAGCTGGGGCTGGTTGCAGGGTTGGAAGGGGGCCACAAAAAGGAGTCATGGTCTTGAAGGGCTCAGGATCCAGCAAGTCTAATTCAGGAATCTTCCTGAAAGCTTCCCTTTCCAAAATTAGTATTGTTGACTGTTGTACTTAAATAGTAAAACAGTTGAGTTAGGTTTAAAAATTGATTGGCAATGGACATTGCAAAGAAATCTCCCGCTATCTATCACAATTGCCAAGCTATTTCCTTGAATGCAGTCAAATGAATGACATTTGGGCAGAATGAAACCATCTTGTGGGAGTCACATCGCTGCGGTTTTGGCTCTGAGAACACTACCATGTTTTGTTTTGTTTTTTAATTCCAGAATTCCTACAGTTAACTATGTATCTTTCTTCCCAGATAGCATGACTAAAATGTAGATTCATTTTAAATTTAACACTTTCTGTTTGATACTGAATTTCTTTTGAACAATCCATATTTTGAAATTGGTATACTCTAGTATTCTCTTTTTAGTACATAGTGGTTTCAACATGGAGAATGGGATTAATTATCAGAAGAAGGCCTTGTTTGAGGGTTTTTTTCCTACATCACCAGTATGCCCGAGAAATTGCAGTAAAAACACATATTGAAATTGCACACCTGCAGTTGCAAAAAACTAACAAATATGAGAGCCCTAAACATGGTACTAAATAAAGTTTTAGGTGTGTCTTTCAGGTATATCAGGTTAATATAATCTCATCTTTTTCAGTAGTAGAAATCTGAAATAAGAGTTTTTTGTCTACTGAGTATAAACCCTTTATATATTGAAAATAGTTAAATGTATTAAAGTACTTCCTTAGAATTTTTTTCACAAGTGCAAAGACCTTAGAACTAAGCAAAAATCAAGAATTATTAATCTCCATTATCAGTTCTTAAGCTTTAGAATTATAACTATAGTACTGGAGAAAACAGCAACTTAAATATTGCTGTGGGGTTTTTTTGGACATTAGCTTGAGGCAGCTAGCCTGAACATCAAACAATGTGACATGTTTCAACAAGTGGAAACAGTGCTTTTAACTAGTCATTTAAGTATTTATTTCATAATACCTTCAAGGTTTTTTTTAGAATTTATCCTTCACAGAAATCAAAGAGCCCTTCTCTGAGTAGGAAAAAAATGATGTTTTGCATTTTAAACAAAAAATAATGTTAAAGGGCTTCCCTGGTGGCGCAGTAGTTGGGAGTCCGCCTGCCGATGCAGGGGACGCGGGTTCGTGCCCCGGTCCGGGAAGATCCCACGTGCCGTGGTGCGGCTGGGCCCGTGAGCCATGGCCGCTGAGCCTGCACGTCTGGAGCCTGTGCTCTGCGACGGGAGAGGCCACAACCGTGACAGGCCCGCGTACCGCAAAAAAAAATAATAATAAATAATGATGTTAAATATAGGAGAGGTTTACATATTTATTTATAGGTGCCATCTATTTTTAAGCCTGGAAAATTCTACTCAAACTAGAAAATCGTATTCTAAAATGGTGGCAGTAGTAAAATCCTCAGGACTTCCCCCCTTAGCTTCAATCGTGCCAATGATCGAAAACACCTGATTTTGCTAATTAGCTGATGCAGCTGTGATAGTTATACCCAGGTGGACCACTGATGTTAAAACAGAAGTTAAAAACTTAATCTGTTAACCTGTCATTCAGTCTGAGAAATCCATGATCTAGATAAGACCTGGATATTCACAGAGTAAATAGAAGTACGTTTGAGTGCAGGACTGAAGAAAAAAGTTTTATTTATACTTAAGACACACTTATTTAACAAAAATAATTGAGCAGTTGTAGAGCCCTGTGTTTTCTATCAAGTGTCCTTGCTAATGAAGACAAAATCTTTGACGTATCGATTGCCAGAATTTTTCTGTTTTCTCAAAGTCCTGTGCCATTTCTCTTGAAGTCATTATAAAGCTTTTTTTTCATCAGGATGGAATGAAATGCTGTAGCTGATGCATTGGAGACACATGATTTCCTGTTTAGAGTTTTTAAGAAAAAAAAAATAGTTTGTCTCATTGGGTGGTTGCCTAAGCGAGCAAGGAAATGGGCCCCTGGCCTCCAGAGGTGACCACAGAACACCAGTGAGGGCCCATTTCTAGATCCTTTTTTTCATTTTTCAGGCCCTGAACTGAAAGGGAAAGGGGGAGGAGGTGTGCAGTTCTCCCTGTCCCACCGCCACCCTCAGACGTCTTTCAGGCAGCCAGAGTTCCTGCTCTTTGTACCAGAGATCTTAAGGGTCATCATTCTCTTCCCTTTCCCTAAGTTATCTCTAAGTGGTGATACTAGGTGTTAGTTACTCCCACTCCCAAAAATATGTAATAAGGAACAGATCTAAATTTCCTTATTTTTATTTTGTCTGAAAACCTCAAAATGTTCTAGATCTCATTCTCTGGAGCCTAGACTTAAGTACCTCTTCCTCTTCTCTTCCTGAGAGAGTGCACAACTGTTTTCCCCCAGGGAAGACAAGAATCAAGTCTGCATTCTTACACCACCACATAGCATCCGAGGTTCAGCAAAGCTTCAGGCCTGTAGAGCTCCTCCAGCACCCCGGGAAGAGGAATTTCATTTCCCATAGAGTCTGTTCTTTTCATGCCTTATAGGATAATGTTCCCTTCGCCAAGTCTTTATACCCAGGTTCTGATAGCTTAAGTTCTGCAAAGCTTTTTCTTTACCCACTTCCTTCCCAATCACAGCTTTTTCCCTTTTTGCCCTCCGCTTTTACCTCCTATCCCTCTTCTGACCAGCAGTCTTATTTTATCAAGGGTTGAACTGCTTTCCCATCGTCGAAACTCCTCCCTGCTTTTTTCATGGGAGAATTTGTTTTCGAGGTGTAGTGGTCTCTACTTGGACAGTTTGCATCTTGCTTTCCCTTGGACAGCAATCAGGAATACAGAAGCTACAGCTATGAAGGGCAAAATCAGGAATCCAGGTCACATACCAGAAACATTCAAAGCAGAGCCTCCAAGACCATGTTATAGAATGCTACAGAGGGCTGCGGGAGAGCCCTCACACGTACCTTCCTCTGTTGGGACATATACACTGGCCTAGATTCAGCAACTTGTTTCATCTGAAACAAGACTAAACTAAACAAGACTAAAGGGAATCAGAATTTTCCCTAAGCATTTTAAAGACCCTAACAAGCAAAAGAGTCCTCTTATCATTGGATAGTTTGGTGGGTGTTGATAACTTAAGCAAACAAAGGGATATATAGGCTTTTCTAGCTAGAGATGACGTCATCAGGCATAGGACTCAAGGTAATACACTTAGCAAGAATAGTGACTCTGACGCTGAAAATCCATAATAGTGGTCTTTACACCAGATGATACACACAATGAAGTCCAAAAGAAGAACCATAATTTACCCTCCTTCTACTTAAGGTACACCCTGGAAGACTCTTTCCCAAGATGCTTTAGTCTCATCTGATCTCAGGCATAGGCATGTGCCCCTTTTTGTCCTCCCCTAAATCACGGCCTACTAGAGAAACCCTAGATTTGGGAATCACTTAAAGTAATAATATCCTCAGTGTAGACAGGATTTTTCCCCCAGTCGTGGACCTAGCTGCCTGAGGCCTTCAGGGATTGACCCTTTTCTTTGTTAAGGACATTATCTCTTCAGTCAAGTTTTGGGGCCCTCTTCCTTAACTGCCTAGCTCTTGACTTCATAGAGGTAATCAAGTGGGACATTTTCTCCTAAATTTCAAAAAGTTCTCCTAATGCACTGCTACTCAGAGTGTCCCATGGACGCAAGTGCCAGTCTGAGAATGGTTTCTTACTGGTCCACGACAAGATAAGGAATATTAACCCAAATATAAATCAACTTACAGCACTGAGCATGATGGTTAGTTCAGCTGAATTTGTTTTTTTATAGAAAGACTGTTGAAGAAGGAAGTGATGAATTGATTTACATTCTCCTTATCGTGTTGTGATCCAGCCCTTTGAATAGAATTCCCCTAGCAGTTTATATAACAGACCATTTTAGGCATGCTTATCCTCAGAAATGAAACATGCCATGCTCTATCTTCAGTGCCTTTTATTACCTAATTCCTTTGAACAAAAATGGCCCTAAAGTCCATTGGGTCAAAGTAAATCTTATTTTCATTTCTGCCTCTCCTTTTTCTCTAACAGAAATCCACTGACTACTCCCTATGGGTTTCTCCATTTTTGAAAAAGTGCTTCAGAATAACCCCATCTTCCCTTACCAGAATCCCATCTCTCTGTCTCATAGAAGTGTGATGCTGACTTGATACCTCATTTTCTCTCAAGCGTCTTACCAGAAGATGTATGTCTAGTTAGCATTCACTTAGACGAGAAGAGTTGTCAAAATCCAAGCCGTGATACATGACCCTTTTTTCCATCAGAATGCTGAGACATCTCCTCAATGTGAGGTTTGGCTTTCCTAAACCTTCCTTCTTCCTTCCCCAACCTCTAACAGCAGGAAGCTTACCAAATATTTAGTCGTGAGTAGGTCATCATTTCTGAGCATCACTATTAGAGATGTTGTAGAACAATAGATTGCAAAAGCTGTCCCCTTTGTGACCAGCCATTTTCCACTGCCTAGCAGATTCAGTTATAAGGAAGCCAAAATTTCCTTAACTATAAAATGACAGCGCCTTAGGGGTAAACGCAGCCAGAGCAGTAGTGTTTGGACATGTTCCTATGTCCAGAGTCTGCAGGGCAACCACGTGGCCTTCTATACCCATACTCTTGCTTGACAGTAACAATTTGGTCCACAATCCTACAGCAGCTGTTCTCAGCTTGAGCTCACTTCCTACTTCCCAGGGGTCCAGCTGCAGTCACTTACTATACGAGCTGCTAGCAATTATTGTATCTTGAGAAAGCTAGTTTATTTATTGGTAGCTTTGTTTGGTAATAATAATTCATTGCACACTTGTTATATGTTAGGTTCTGTTCTAAACACTTTACATTTCATTGAATTCTTATAAGGTAGCTGCTGTTTCTATTTTACAGATGATGGAACTTTTTACAGTCCTAGAGAGATAAACATGTCTGAAATCACACAATTAATGATCGAGCTGGGTCTGTCTAACTCCAAAAGCTCTGGTTCTCCCAGCGCCCTATCCTGTTTCTCTAAGGATGCTTCATCCCTGGCATCTGTTTTATTTCTTGCCTCTCTTTACAAGTCCTAGGCTAGGCTAACAACCCACTTTTCCAATTCTCCAGTGAAGTGAGGAGCTAGAGATGACTACAAAAGCTCATTCGATGTTTACCTGAAAAGTACATGCTCTCTTTGTTTAGGTGACAGACCATAAACGTACACAGGATCAAAGTGTTAATAACAATTTTTAGATCACATTAGGAAAACATTTACTATAGTAGCCATTGAAGATGATGCATAGTCAGAGAATGAAACTTATTTGTAAGTAACTTGAGCTCACCATTTGGTAAAAAGACTGGTAGGATGTATAGTAGGTAGAAATAATTTGTAAAATTCTTTTTTTGTAACTGAAAATTGCACGTATGACTTTGATCCTCACAAAAATATGTGTTTGTTTTTAAGGGTAACTAATCCCTGTAAGGCTATCTGTTATTTACAAAACACTTTTTAAAAATAAATTTACTTCACTGGTTTTTATTCACACAGAGTTATTCCCTAGTGGATGTTCAGCCTTCAAGAAAATTACTCCCAATATAGATGAAGAAGGAGCAATGAAAGAAGATGCTGGAATGATGGACGTCCATTATAGTGAAGTAAGACTCCAAGGCCTGCCTTGCCAGTTATATAAATTTAACTTCTTAAAATTTATTTACATTAAAAAATTATTACAGCTAAAAAAAAATTATGACAGCTAACTTAATTTGGAAGGTAATGAAGGGTTGATGAACTGTAAGCATTAAAACTGCCCAGGGAAAAGATGTCCCTGTGTGGAATGTGGAGCCCTATCTCTGGAACTGTTCTTATTGTCTGGTTTTAGAAATGTACCATGTATCTTCCTCAGATCACCTTCCCAGTAACCAGATCACCGTCAACATACTTTGGAGAAATCTCCGTAAAAAATATAGCTAACGATGTAACAGCTAAGGAGAGGATGCTTACAAGCATTTTAAAGATGGAAAATTTCTGCTCCAAGCTTCATATGAGTAGCAAACAGCTTCGGTTGTCAATCACTCAACAAATATTTGTTGAGCACTGACTTATGAGCAAGGCTTTGGACTTGGTGATACAGAAGCTATAAAATAATTAGATATGGCTGATCCCTGACCTTACGTCTACCTAAAGAGATAATCCACCTGCTCGAAATGGAGAAAAGCAAGACAGTGCCATTTGAATAATACAGACAGTATGTTCCATGCAGAGTTGAAGGTGAGAGATGCCTTTGAGCTGAGGTAGAACAGAGGACAGTTAGGCTTAGAGAGAGGTTTGAAGCGTGAAGACACCCTGAAGGCATTTTAGCAGAGGGAGGATAATGGGGACAAAAGTTAAGAGGTGGGAAAGTATAAGGTATGTTTGGGGGCACGGTGAATGGATCATTTTGGCTAAGCCATTGGGTTCACATAGAGAAGAGTAGTAGTTGAGGTCAGGTTTTGGGAAACTTTGAATGTCTGGACTTCATTGATTAGAATGTTGAGTTGCTGTCAAAGGTTTTTGAGCAGGATAATGACAAGATGAAAGCAAGGAAGAGGAAAGGTTAATTTGGCGGTTATGTGGGAAATGTATTAGAGGTAGATGGATAGGGGCTGGAGGCAGAATCTGGAGGGCGGGCTGCCCTAAGAGTCCAGATGTGAAGCAGCCAGGTCTAAACCCAGGTAGTGACAGGTTCAGGAAACACTGTGAAGAAAAGAGGAAGACTTGCTGGCTGGGGGAGAAGAGTCAAAGGTAGTGCTAAGATTTCAGGTTTGGATATTATAGAAAAATGATGGATGGATGATTTTACAGGGAAGATGATGAAATCAGTTTTTGATGGGTGTTGAATTTGGAGTAGAAGGTTATTGAAATGGAAATAACATCAGGCCATTAGAAAGTCAGAACTGAATCTAAAGAGAGAGATCAGGGTTGGAGAGCCACATCTGGAAGTCGTAGCTGTGTGAGAACCAAAGCACACTGACGATGGGAGATAATACAGCAAGCGAAGACCAGAGAACCAAGGACTGAAGCACATTGATGTTTACAATTAAGGAACGTGAAGACCAAAGAAAGAAAGAAACAACAAAAGTGGAGAGATTTAAGGGGTTGCAACCCCACAGAAATAAATTTTTTTAACATTATATTAAGAAACATAAGAAGCAGCCAGGTTAAAGTGGCAGAGACATGTTTTATACTTTATGATTTGTTTTTTAAAATATTTTAATTTTTAAAATTTATTTATTTTTGGCTGCTTTGGGTCTTCTTTGCTGCGTGTGGGGTTTCTCTAGTTGCAGCAAGTGGGGGCTACTCTTCCTTGGAGTGTGCAGGCTTCTCATTGCAGCGGCTTCTCTTGTTGCAGAGCACGGGCTCTAGGCGTGCAAGCTTCAGTAGTCGTGGCACGCAGGCTCAGTAGTTGTGGCTCGCGGGCTCTAGAGCGCAGGCTCAGTAGTTGTGGCGCACGGGCTTAGTTGCTCTGCGTTATGTGGGATCTTCCCGGACCAGGGCTCGAACCCGTGTCCCCTGCATTGGCAGGTGGATTCTTAACCACTGCGCCACCAGGGAAGTCCTGTTTTTTAGAAAATATAAGCAATCTCAAGGTAGCTCTAGTTCATTTAGCTAAAATGATATATGCCTAGAAGCTTTACCTGCTACTTCTATATGGGTCTCTCTCCTCATCAATAAAATAAAGGTGATAATACTATCCTGGTCACTTCACAACAAATGTGAAGGCTCTTTATAAGTCATTAGGTGCTACATAAATGTCAGACTTTATCACTGACCAACTTGATAGTAAGGTTTCCTTTTACCTCCAGAACCTAGAAGAGTAGATACTTAAAACATCCTTGTGGAATTAATTAATCATAACAGAGAATCGAGATACTTGAATTTTAATCCCACTTCATTGCTTGACTGTGAAGCCTTGGGTAAGTTAATTCACTTTTTGGGTTTTTAGTTAGACTTCAGTGATTTTCATCTAAGACCCCCAGTTTGTGCGGGCTAGCAGCAGAAAGATTCACGGGAGTTTGTGGGAGATAAATGTTTTAACACAACTGAAGTTACATCCTTTTTTCCAAACAGCAGCTTCAACTTAGTCATAAAAATGGCCTTGCACCTGACCCTTTTTTATACTCTCAAGGAGAGTGGTCATATTTCTTATTAGTCAAGAACTGTAATCAGTTTTTTATGTAAACACATTTGTTGGAACTCTTGTGTTCTACAGTAATAATTTATACATGCTTTTCATTTGATGTATACAGATAGAATCACGTTCTCCGTAGTGCCATTTTACGTTTCAGTTTATGTAATAGGGCTTCTTCCTCGTGCTCTAGCCAATGGAAAATAACCGCCACCGATTTACAAGTTTTATTGAAACGAAAAATACAAATTGTTGTTCATTTAGTGCCTTATTTAAATAGGTTAGTTAAACCAATAATACTTTAATTGGTTTTGAAAACTGCATTTCTGACTTCTGATTTGCAATCGTTTTTAAAGATATAATTAGCATACAGTAAAATTCACACATCTTAAGTGGACAGCTTGATGAATTTCCACAGTTGTACACACCCATATAAATTACCACCAGAAACGAGAAAGAGAACGTGTCCATTCCCCCAGAAAGTTCCATTGTGCCCATTTCCAGTTAGTCTCCCCACCCCCACTCTCTGATTTCTATCATTATAGATTAGTTTTGCCATATTTTGGTGTCATAAAATGGAATCATTCAGTATGTACCCTTCTGTATCTGCCTACTTTCGCTTAACATAATGTTTTTGAGATACACCCATATTGCTGAGTATATCAGAAGTTCTTTTTCATTGCTAAATATTCCATTATATCAATGTAAGATTTTTAAATCCATTCTCCTGCTGATGGATTTTAGATTGTTTCCAGTTTGGGATTGTTATGAATATAAGGCTGCTTTAAGCATTCTTATCTATGACCTTTTGTGGACATATGCTTTCATTTTTCTTAGGTAAATACCTAGGAGTGAAACTGCTGGATCCTGGGGAAGTTACATATTTAACTTCATAAAAAATACCCAGAGTTTTTCAAAGTGGTTGGACCATTTTATATTCCTGCCAGCAATGAATAAGAGTTTCAGCTGCTTCACTTCCTCACCAGCATTTGATGTTGCTAATCTTTTTTTATATTTTTACCATTCTGTTAGACATGAATTGGTACCTCACTGTGTTTTTCACTTGTATTTCCCTAATGACTAATGGTGTTGAGCACTTTTTATGTGCTCCTTTGTCTTTCATATATCTTCTTTTGTGGAATGTTTGTTCAAGTCTTTTGCCCATTTTTAGAAATTGCATTATTTTTTTTGTTGTTGACTTAGGGGAGTTCTTTCTATATTCTGGATATAAGTCCATTGTCAAATATATTTGCTGCAGATTTATTTACCAGTCTTTATTTATTTTCTTAATTGAGTCTTTTATTGAGCAGAAAGTTTTGGTTTTGATGAAGTTCAATTTACCGTTTTTTTGATCGTTTGTTTTTGCGTTGTGTGTTTGGTCTGAGAAATCTTTTCTTACCTCAAGACTGAAGATACTGCCTTATATTTTCTTCTATAAACTTTGTTTCTGAGTTCTATGTTTAGGCTGATAATCTATCTAGAATTCATTTTTGAGCATGGAATGAGATAGAGGTCAAGGTTCATTTTTTTCTTTTTTTCTTAAATTAATTAATTTATTTTTGGCTGTGTTGGGTCTTTGTTGCTGCGCGCTGGCTTTCTCTAGGTTGCAGCGAGCAGGGACTACTCTTCGTTGGAGTGTGCAGGCTTCTCACTGCGGTGGCTTCTCTTGTTGCGGAGCATGGGCTCTAGGCACGTGGGCTTCAGTAGTTGTGGCACACGGGCTCAGTAGTTGTGGCTTGTGGGCTCTAGAGCACAGGCTCAGTAGTTGTGGCACACGGGCTTAGTTGCTCCGCGGCATGTGGGATCTTCCCGGACCAGGGATCGAACCCGTGTCCCCTGCATTGGCTGGCGGATTCTTAACCACTGAGCCACCAGGGAAGTCCCAAGGTTCATTTTTTTCTAAACAGTTATTTCACATGGTCCACACCATTTGGGGAAAAATAAAACTTTTACCCCCACTGAATTGCTTTGGCGCCTTAGTCAAATTTCAGTTCTTTATATGTCTGTGGTCTATTTCTAGACTCTGTTTTGTTCCACTGATCTATTTGTCCATCTTGATACCAATATCACACTGTCTTGATTACTATAACTTTATAAGTCTTGGAATCGGGTAGTGTTAGCCCTCCAACTGTATTCTTTTTCAAAGTCATTTTGGCTCTTCTGTATCCTTTGAATTTCCATGCAGAATTTCGAATCATTTTTTCTGTTTCCTCAAAATAGCCTGCTGGAAGCTTTGTAGAGATTTTGTGACATTTATATATCACTATATGGAGAATGGAGAGCTTAACAATACTGAGTCTTTCAGTCAGGTCTTATTTAGTTTGTCTTTAATTTCTCCCAGCAATATTTTGTGATCTTTCAGGGTAGAAGTCTTTTCCTGGGTATATATTGTTAGATAATGGATGTTCTGATGCTACTGGAAATAGTATTGCTTGATTTTTTAATCTTAGTTTTCAATTTGTTGTTGCTAGTATATAGAAATACAGTGATTTTGTGTGTTGATCTTATAATCTGTAACCTTGCTAAATCTGCTTTTTAGTTTTAGTAGTTTGTATATTCCTTAGGGTTTTCTACATACACAATCATGTCATCTGCACAGAAAGACAGTTTTACATTTGCAAATCTCTGTGCTCTCTCTCTCTCTCTCTCTCTCTCTCTGTCTCTGTCTCTGTCTCTGTCTCGCCTTATTACACTGGCTAGGACCTTCAGCATAATGTTGAATAGAAGTGGTAAGAGCAGACATTCTTGACTTGTTCCCAAATTTAGGAGAAGAGTGTTCAGCCTATAGGTTTTGGGGTTTTAGTAGATGCTCTTTATCAGATTGAGAAAGGTCTCTTCTATTCCCTGTTTCCTGGGGATTCTTTTCTAACATCATGAAGCGGTGTTGAGTTTTTTCAAATGCTTTTTCTGCATCTATTGCTTGAGATCACATTTTTCTCTTTTGTTCCGTTTACATGGTTCATTCTGTTTACACTGGATTTATTCCTAATTGTAAACCAACTTTACATCCCTGGGACAAACATTACTAGTTTGTAATAGATTCTTAACTCCCCCAAAGTTCCTCCTTCCCACTGTTGATAGAAATTTTAATTTGGCTATTAAATGTTAATATATAGATTATTTTTTCAAGTAGCAGCGTTTAATGAACATCTACTATGTACTGCCGCCATACTAGTGACTGAAGAAACCAATATAATACATTGTCCCTACTCTTGAAGAGTCACAGCCTATTTGGAAAGTCAGATACATAGATAACAGACAAGTATAGTGATAAATGTCCACCCAATGAATTATCAGAGTAAGAAAAAAAGGTGTCTTGTGTCTTGCTACTCTTTGTTAATCAGGAGAAGAATCCTGGCAGAGGTGATACCTAAGCTTTCTTAAAGGGTTAACTAAGTGAAAGGGATTAAAGGACAAGAGGGTACAGAATGGACAAAGGCACAAAGTTAAGGCAACACCATGGTGCTTCAGAGGAACTACCAGTAGCTCATCGTTGCTTAAGCATCAAGTACCAGGCTGAGCATGATGCGTGATGATATTATAAAAGTATCAGCCAGATCACTGCAAGGCTTGTGTGCCAAATGAAAGAGCTTGTCCTTAGTTCTGCGAATGATGGGAGCCATCATGAGATTTTAAGAAGGGAAGAAGGATGTGGTCTGGTTTGCATTTTAATCAGAACCCTATGGCAGATTTGTGGAGGATAGATTTGAAAGTGCCAAGGCTGGAAGATCAGTTAGAAAACAATAATGAGGTCTTGAACCTTAGCAATGAGAGCAGAAATGGAGAAGAAGGGTCAGACTTGAGAAATATTTAGGAAGTAAAACTGGCAGAACTTGGTGATGGACTGATTAGAGGATAAGTAAAGAAAGAGAGTGTATTAGTTTCCTAGGGTTGCCATAACGAGGTACAGAAACTGGATGGTTTAAAACAACAGAATTTTATTGTCTCACAGTTCTAGAGTCCAGAAGTCTGAAATCAAGGTGTCAGCAGGGCCATGTGCCCTCTGAGACTCTGGGTAGAAGCCTTCCTTGCCTCTTCCTAGCTTCTGGCGGTAGCTGTCGATCTTTGGCGTTCCCTGGCTCGTGGCTCCGTTACTCCAGTCTCTGCCTCTGTAGTCACATGGTGTTCTCCCTGCATATCTCTGTCATATTGGAGTAAGGGCTCACCCTACTCCAGTATGACTTCACCTCCACTAATCATATCTGCAATGACCCTAGTTCCAAATAAGGTCACATTCTGAGGTACTGGGAGTTAGGGCTTCAACTTATCTTTTTGAGGGGCACAGTTCAACCCATAACAAAGGGTAAAGTCAAAACTGCCCTTAGTTTTCTAGCTAAGAGTTTATAGGGTGTGACCCCTGGCTAGGTAGGAAACACAAGTGAAAGAGCTAGTTTAGGAAGAAGAGGAATTCAAAATTGTCTAGAGGACATACAGGAAGAGCCGTTTTAGCAGTCAGTTTTATAGGTCTGAAGTTCATCTCTTTAAGATAGAAACAAACTGTTAAGACTTACGGATAACATGAGTAATTGGCTTCATCTTTTTATTGTTGAGAACATGACACGATGGTTGTTTTATAGCGGCTGTTATTATAGCAAGGTCAGAGATCTCTATCTTGAGGTGGTATTATACTGTCATTCCCACTCATTTTAGAACCAACAGTGAGGAAGGAAGCACTGTTGACCAAAATCACATCATTTTAATAAACACCTTTGTCACTGATGCAACAGCTTGAAAACTGCCAAATTATCTTAAGACTCTATTAATTGTGTTTAAATATAATTTCAATATAAAGGAAAAATAATGGACATTTATAGACTTAGTGGACATTTATAGACTGTTAGACATTTAAACATCCTCAGTTTGGAACAATGTATCCCCTTTTAAAAATACTTCTTCTCAGTGTGTTACCATTTGTAAGTACAGTTAACATCTTTATTATGTGATAAACAAAGTAAATAGTAGTTTACTATTGTCAATATTAATTTCATACTTTTAAGAATGGTTTCAATTTCAAATACTTCAAGTATGTGATTTAGAAAAATATAGTCACACAACTGTACTCCTTCTGTGCATTTCATTAACTTTAGTACATTCTATTCTCTATTAACTTGAAATGGTTCAAAATATATTTGCCCAGAGCTCTAAAACTATCTCAAATTCCTGATTGCATTTTTCTCTCAATGCAGGAAGTTTTGCTGGAGTTGCTAGAACAATGTGTGGATGGCTTATGGAAAGCAGAACGTTATGAAGTAATTTCTGAAATTTCCAAGTTGATCATTCCAATTTATGAGAAACGTCGAGAATTCGAGGTAGGTAATTTAAACATTTGCATCAGTGGCCTATATGTTTTATTTTGGTCTTAAGTTACTATCCTTAAAAAATGCTAGGAGGCCCTAAAATTACAATCCTACCTCGTATTCACATAAATTTTCCAAATGAAATTAAGGACCAAACATTTGATATAAATTGAAATTTACATTATACCAGTGGTTCGCAAAACATTTTTATCTAGCAATCTCTCCTCCTCCACTCATGGCAGAAAACAATCAATGTTGTCTTCACTAAACCTTCACTAAAAAAAGCTGTTGGATTTCCATGTAGCCCAGGAAGAGTGATAGGCATGATTCTATTCTTTGCAATTTGACGGTGAGACTAAAGGTGCTGGCAGATGACAGTAGGGGAGATAATAGTAATAGTAATAACCCTATTGTGAGGAGTTTTTCCAATTTAGTCTGCCAGATAAAGCTGTGGATAAAGGGTAGTTAATAAAGAATAGTAGTATAATGAGCAGCTGTTGCCACCAGCACTGAACAGGAATTTTTTTTTTTTTTTTTTTTTTTTTTGCGGTACGCGGGCCTCTCACTGTTGTGGCCTCTCCCGTTGCGGAGCACAGGCTCCGCACGCACAGGCTCAGCGGCCATGGCTCACGGGCCCAGCTGCTCCGCGGCATGCGGGATCTTCCCGGACCAGGGCACGAACCCGCGTCCCCTGCATCGGCAGGCGGACTCTCAACCACTGCGCCACCAGGGAAGCCCAGGAATTTTTTATATTCAAGTCTCTAAGTCCATATCATAATTTTATACCCTTACTATGCTGGGAAGGGATGATTTAGGATTCAAGCCATTTTTTTTTAAAGCAAAGCAGTTTATCCTTAAATATAGCAAGTAGTCTTTCATTGTTGAAGAAGTTTCCAAGAGTGAAAACATACATTTAATATCATCTGTGTAGTGTTCTAATCTCTGTTCCAAACTGGCTCCGATCAAACTCACCTTTTCTTCCTAGGTTCTGGATCTTTCTCTCTTTGCCGTGCTTTTGGTGTGTATGGGGCATGCCTGAAAAATCATAGCGGAGTTCAAGTGATTATATTAAAAAGCAAGAGTTAAATAATTAAATCTAAGTCATACAGATGACAAAGAATAGCCTATGAGACACGACAAGAATTGGCATTGAGCTTTCTTTCAAAGCATTACATCCTAAGAACCTTTGTAAACGTTTCAAAATACCCACTCTCTTACTCTTAGGTTGAAGACCAGGGAACATTTTGCTACTCAATTGACTAATAGGGAAAAAAGAAAAATAGATCTTCCCTACACATTAAAGGAAGCAACATGTTCTATAGGGGAACTACTCCTATTCCCTTGTAGGGGTGCAAGGGTCTGTATAGATCCCTTAGTGTTCTGCATGAGATGAAGTAATTTTTCAGTGTATCTTTATGGGATGGGCTGAAAAGTGTCAGAGGTGGCAGCCATAAAGGTAAGGAAAACTTCCCTCAAATTGAGCTCAACTGCAGAAAATAATATAGGAAGAATTTTAGACAAAGAATGTCTGCTTCTGTGCTCCCCTTTTTTTTACTGAAGTGAAATTCACTAACATACAATTGACCATATTCTAGTGTGCAATTCAGTGGCATTTAGTGCATTCTTAATGTTACGCTCTCACCACCTCTCTCTAGTTTCAAAACATTTTTATCACCGCAGAAAAAGACTCCATATCCTTTAGTAATCACTCTCCACCCTATGCCCCACCCTCTGGAAACCACTAACCTGCCTTCCGTCTATGGATTTGCCTGTTCTGGATGTGTCATAAAAACAAATTAATACAACATGTGACCTTTTGTTTCTGGCTTCTTTCACTTAGCATAATATTTAGAGATTCATCCAGGTTGTAGCATGTATCAGAACTTTATTCCTTTTTATGGCTGAATGATATTTCATGGTATGGGTATACCACAATTTGTTTATCCATTTGGGTTGTTTCCACATTTTGGCTATCATGAATAGTGCTGTTGTAAACAGTTAGTATAAGTTTCTGTATGGGTATGTTTTCTTTTTTTATATCTAAATTTATTTTATTTATTTATTTTTTGGCTGCATTGGGTCTTTGTTGCTGCATGCGGGCTTTCTCTAGTTGCGGCGAGCGGGGGCTACTCTTTGTTGCGGTGCGCGGGCTACTCACTGCGGTGGCTTCTCTTGTTGTGGAACATGGGCTCCATGCCTGCGGGCTTCAGTAGTTGTGGCACGTGGGCTCAGTAGTTGTGGCTCGCGGGCTCTAGAGCGCAGGCTCAGTAGTTGTGGCACAGGGGCTTAGTTGCTCCGCGGCATGTGGGATCTTCCCAGACCAGGGCACGAACCCGTGTCCTCCGCATTGGCAGGTGGATTCTTAACCACTACGCCACCAGGGAAGCCCTGGGTGTGTTTTCATTTATCTTGGATATATACCTAAGAGGGGAATTGCAGGGTCATAGGGTAACTCCATTTATAACTTTTGAGTAACCACCAGATTGTTTTCCCTTTTACACTCCCACCAGCAGGGTACACATTCCACATCCTGATCAACACTTATTTTTGGTTTCTTATTACAGCCATCCTAGTGGCTGTGAAGTGGGGTCACATTGTGGTTTTGATTTGTATTTCCTAATGACCAGTGATTTTGAACATCTTTTCATGTCCTTGTTGGCCGTTTATATATATTCTTTGGAGAAATGTCTATTCAAGTCCTTTGCTCACTTTTAAATTAGGTTTTTGTCTTTTTGTTGTTGAATTGTGGGAGTTCTTTATATTTTCTGGATATGAAAACTTATCTGTGGTTTACAAATATTTTCTCCTGTTCTGTAGGTTGTCTTTTCACATTCTTGATAATGTTCCTAGCACAGCGTGCTCCCTTTTTCTGGATGTGTAGAAGAATATATTCTTTGAAAATGTCTGTGAACTTGTATAAAAGGAATCCACCCTCAGGCTTATACTATTATTTTTCTGTCTGCATTTCATTTTCTTCTCCAAAATTGTTCGCATGGATTGTTTATTCTCATCTCTCCACCTAAGAGCTCAAGCAAAGCATTTTGCTTATCTTTCAGTTAAAATAATTCAGACATAAGAAAAAAGTAGTCAATAACACAGTATTTTTAAATTATACACTACCATTGAGATATGAATGAAATGAAACATGATATTTAGAAATACAGTGTTATTTGACCATTTTAAGCTCTACCCTATGACCTAAAGTTGTTAAGGAGTTTTGTCTAATAATGACCATGGGGGAGGGGAGTGTGAATGACCCCACCAAAACCGTTTTGCAAAGGAAATAGTGTTGCTTTTTTTTTTCCTGTGCATTTATCTTAGACATTTACTAACTAACCAGAAGACAAAGCTGTTTCGTTTATTCTCATTTTTCAGAAACTTACTCAAGTTTATAGAACTCTTCATGGAGCTTACACAAAAATTTTGGAGGTTATGCACACAAAGAAAAGACTTTTAGGCACTTTCTTCAGAGTTGCCTTTTATGGCCAAGTAAGTATACTTTAGTTCATAAAGTTGTTTTCCTTTTTAAACATTCACCTTTGAATGATTACTGTAGCAGCAGTTATTGGTTCTAGGATTCTGTCTAGATAGAGCACCTGTCACAACAGCAGGAAGCCTCGTTTGTAAGTGTAAAGTTCACTTTGGTTCCCATGTCTAAATCCACTAGGTCAGAGAACAACATATAAGATTTGAATGTTTCCTTCAGTTTCATTTTTCAAGCTTCTTAAATGTATATTTAATATCTAGCACTGAAAGATTTGCAATAAAAATCAGGTAAGTATGCAGGCGATGAAAAAATCGAGTGTGGAAATCTTCAGGCCAATAATATGCTCACATGACTGTGAGTTTGAAAACTCTCATTTATTTCAGTTAAAATATATGCATGTGACTTTTAGTACTATTATTTAAAATCTATTTCAAATACATTATTGCTAATTATTTAGTAGATTTTCTCTAAGTGCTTTGTTTGCTCATATTATTTATAAATTGTCATATGTTTAACTTTATAATAGTCTTTTTTTGAAGAAGAGGATGGGAAGGAGTACATCTATAAAGAGCCAAAGCTCACCGGCCTCTCGGAGATTTCCCTGAGACTTGTCAAACTTTATGGTGAAAAATTTGGTACAGAGAATGTCAAAATAATTCAGGATTCAGACAAGGTAACATATTTATTGGTTCCAGGTGTGGTACGTTGCTTCTGACTTTTTCCTTTTTTAGCTAGTGGAGGAGAGGCATGGGAAATAGAGCCTTTCCAGATCGTGAAAGAAAGGACAGGGGCTTTGGAATCAGAAAGAAGGATTAAAATCTCCATTCTCTGCCACTTGCTAGCTGTGTGACCATGGGGAAGTTACTTAACCTCTCTGTGCCTCGTTGTTCTCGTTAGTAAAATGAAGTTAATAATAGTGCCTTCCTCATGGAGTTGTTGTACGGATTAAATGAGTTAATATATGGAAAGTGATTAGCGTTCCTGGTATGTAAAAAAGCATTCACTAATAATAATAGAAGCTGGCACGCTCAGTAAAGGATAGCTATTATTGTGAATGCTGTTGGGCATCATGATTGTCAATTTCATGCTTTATGATTAAAATCATCTTAGGACACACATTTTACTCTAAGATATCCTTAGTTCACTAGTTACATTCGCAGTGATGTAGGTTTAGGAGAGATGCCTTGGGCCTTGATCTAAAGATTATCCATCCCACTAGCCCTGCCAAGGCAAGGATGAGAAAGGTTCCAGCAAGAGAGGCTCTTTCCTAGTAGTGCATAGTTCCCTATAGACAGAATCGCGGGAAGGCACAATAGGAATGCCTGACTGTCCTTAGTTACCATGGGTATGTACAGGATGAGAGCTGACTTTTCAGGTAGGAAGGATCTATACAGTGCAGGATCTGTAGACCCCAGAAACATTTACTGCGTGACTATGATGTGCATGGTGCTACGCAAAGCACTCGATAGCTAACAGGCAGCGTTGCCGGAGCGAAAAGCCCGTGGCAATAGTAAAGACACTTCATTTTCTACTATGAAAATGATCTCTTCACTTTGTAAACTTACCTATATCTCATGGAGATGATTTTATCTTACACATATGCCTTCGACATTTAAAAACAGACGTGCTGATAGGTTCAAAATTCATGAATATTTGGCAGAACCTCTCTACTTCTGATCCGTTTCACTATTTTGTGTTGTTTTATTGAATTAAGGCAACAGAAAATTTTATCTCCTTATAGCCAGAAAGTTTTAGGCTTGCTGCCATACTACTGATACTATAAATGGAAAGTTAATAGAAAGCCAGGCTTGCAGAATAACATGCGGTTTCCTACTTTCTTCTGCCTCCGAAAACCTGGCCAACAAGCACTAATGACAAAACACCATCAGGCAGCTGGATTCCTGACATGATTTTTATGCACAATATTTTAGTCATTCTTCATAGGCAACAGATATAATAAGCAATTGCTACTTTTAAAATCCTTATTTCTTTCTTAATGTGTGAAATTGAAAATTAAAAACACTCTTTTACTTGCCAAAGAACAAAATCTGCTTAAGGGCACAAACAATGTGAAAAACAGTTGGGCAGTATTTTCGAGTATTTTAAATGTATCTTTCCTTGGACCCAATAATTTCACATTTAACATTTTATCTTGTAGATAGATATACACACATAAAGATGTATGTTTAAAGGTGTTTATTGCTGCAAAGTTTATATAACAAAAACCTGGAAACAATCTAATATCCACATGGTTAAGGAAGTGGTACTACCCCCATATAATGGATATAGTATCCTAAGCATTAAAAAACTGATGAGTATTGATATACCTATCAAGATATATTATTGAGAGAAAAAAGGTGAGGCACAGAACATTATGGATAGGATGATTACATTTGTGAAAATTGATATTCACATATACTCACTTGTTTATGCTTAGGAAATTTCTGGAATGATACATACAAAATTGTTAACCATGGTTATCCCTGAGGAGAGAGACTAGAGTCTTATGTGGGAAGAAAGACTTTTTTTTACTTTTCATATATACCCTCATGTACTGTTTGAATGTTTACCATATACATAGTTTATTTTATAAGGTCAAAATCAGTCTTGACCTCTCTTTTATTTTCCTTCTATGTCTTGTCTTAGCCAGATAATTAACCTCACCTGAGTTTCTCTGGAGACATCTAGCTTTTTAATGGGAAAGAAAAGAAAGGATTTCTAGATTTAGGCTTTTAGATTTTTATGTAATAACAAGTAGAATGGGTTTGGAGAAGTTTTAAAAGTTGCTAAGAAACTTTCCCTTGTCTATGGTCCTGTATATGTGGAGGGAAAAAAAAAAGGATGTAGGGACTGTTTCTTGGGAGGTTTTTGTTGTTTTTTTGGTTTGTTTCAATTTTTCCTAAGCTAAACACAAAAAAGGCCTGACTATGATAAATTGCAAGGATATTGACAGCGCCACCAACACCCAAGGCACAAGTCAAATTTAGTTGGGAGAACACTGAAAGAAGAGGGCCCTGGGAATCAGCTGGAGTTAATGGAGACGCTGCAGCATAGCTTCTTAACATGGAATTTAGACTCTTTATGAAATGGTCTGTAACTATTATAATTTTATATCTCTGAGATAGAACCATTCTCCTTTCCTGTGGTCCCCTTCCTCCATAGAATAGGCTTAGTGCGATCAAGAGTACCCACTCTTACAATGTCAAATACTGCTTGTGGATGTACGAATTGTCATCTTTTCTGTAGGGTAGTTGGGTAGTATGTATCAAAATTCCCAAAACCATGTAAATCTTTTAACTAAGCAACTTCTCATCTAAAAATTTTTCCTAAGGAATAAATCAGAAGAAAATATACACAGTTTTAAATACAAGGATGTTCATTGGAGCATTATTTATAATAGCAAAATGTTGGAAAACAACCTGAGTCTATTAATGAGGGACTGATCTAATAAATCATGTTTATCCATATCCATCCATTAAAAGTCATGTCAATGACTATAATATAGAACTGTGACAACTATCTTTTTTATTGTGGTAAAATACACATAACATTTATATGTTAACCATTTTTAAGTGTACGATTCAGTGGTGCTTCCAACACCATGTTGGGTAGAAGTGGTGAAATGGGCATCCTTGCCTTGTTCCTCATCTTAGAGGAAAAGCTTTCAGCCTTTCACCATTGAATGTGATGTTTGCTATAGGTTTTTCACAGTGGCCCTTGATCAGATTGTAGACATTTCCTTCTATTCCTACTTTATTGAGTGTTTTTATTATGAAAGCGTGTTGAATTTTGTCAAATGCTTTTTCTGCGTCGATTGAGATGATCATGTGGTTTTTTTTCCCCCCTTCATTCTGTTAATGCAGTGTATCAATATTACATTGATCAATTTTCATATGTTGAACCATCCTTGCATTCCAGGAATAAATCCCACTTGGTCATCATGTACAGTCCTTTTAATATGCTGCTAAATTCAGTTTGCTAGTATTCTTTTGAGAGCTTTTGCATCAGTGTTCATAAGGGATATTGGTCTGTAGTCTTCTTGTGCTGTCTTTGTCTGGCTTTGGTAATCAGAGTATTGCTGACCTCATAGAATAAGTTAGGGAGTGTTTCTTTCTCTTCACTGTTTTGGAAAATTTTGAGAACACTTGGTGTTAGTTCTCCTTTAAATATTTGAGAGACTTCACCAGTGAAGATACCAAGTCCAGAGCTTCTCTCTGTCAGGAGATTTTTTTTATTACTGATTGAGTTTCCTTACTAAAGATCTGTTCAGATTTCCCTATTTCTTCATGGTTTAGTCTTGGTAGGCTTTGTGTTTCTAGGAATTTGTTCATTTCACATTTCATCTAGGTTTTCTAATTTGTTGGCATATACTCGCTCATAGTACTCTCTTATAATCCTTTTTATTTCTGTAGGATTGGTAGTAATGTCCTCATTTTCATTTCTGATTTTAGTAATTTGAGTGTTCTCTCTTTTTTTCTGTTCTATTTCGTTAAAGGGTTGTCAATCTTGTTGATCTTTTCAAAGAGCCAACTTTTGGTTTCATCGATTTTCTGTGTTATTTTTCTATTCTCTATTTCATTTATCTGTGCTCTAGTCTTTATTATTTCCTTCCTTCTGCTAGCTTTGAGTTTAGTTGTTCTTCTCTTTCTAGTTCCTTAAGTTGTAAAATTAGGTTGTTGATTTGAGACCTTTCCTGTTTTTTAATGTGAAATGTTAGAGCTATAAATTCCCCCTCCCACCCCGTAGCACTGCTTTTGCTGTGTCCCATAAGTTTGGGTATGTTGTGATTTCATTTTCATTAATACCTAAGTATTTTCTAATTTCCCTTGTGATTTCTTCTTCGATCCATTGATTTCTTCAAAGAATATGTTGTTTAATTTCCACCAATTTGTGAAGTTTCCAATTTTACTTCTGTTACTGAGTTCTAACTTCATCCCATTGTGTTCAGAGAAGATACTTTGTATGATATCTGTCTTTATAAACCTATCGAGACTTATTTGTGGCTTAACATATAGTCTATCCTGGAAAATGTCCCATGTGCACTTGAGAAGAATGTGTATTCTGTTGTTGGGTAGAGTTTTCTATATATGTCTGTTAGGTCTAGTTAGATCATTGTGTTATTCAAGTCATCTATTTCCTTACTTCCCTTCTGCATGGGTGTTCTATCCAGTAATAAGAGTGAGCTATTAAAGTCTCCAACTATTATTGTAGAACTATTTATTATTTCTCCCTTCAGGTCTATCGATTTTTGCGTCATATATTTTGATGATCTGTTATTAGGTGTGTAGATGTTTATAATTGTTTTATCTTCTTGCTGTATTGAACCTTTTATCAATATATAACGTCCTCCTTTGTCTCTTGTAACCTTTTTAAATTTAAAGTCTATTTTTTCCAATATTAGTATCTTTACCCCTGCTCTCTTTTGATTACTATTTGGATGGGATATCTTTTTCCATTCTTTCACATTCAGCCTTTGTGTGTCTTTGGAGCTAAAGTGAGTCTCTTATAGACAGCATATAGTTGGATCATGTTTGGGTTTTTTTTATTCCATTCTCCCAATCTCTGTCTTTTGTTTACAGAAGTTAACCCATTTATATTTAAATTAATTACTAATTATTAAGGAGGGACTTTACTGCTGTCATTCTGCTCTGTTTTCTATGTGTCTCATAGCTTTTTTGTCTCTCATTTCCTGCATTACTATCTTCTTTTGTGTTCAGTTGATTTTTTTGGCAGTGGTTTTTGTTTTAGTTTTTAAATCACATCCTCTCTCTCTTTCTAAATTTTATTTATTTTTGGCTGCGTTGGGTCTTCGTTGCTGTACACGGGCTTTTCTCTAGTTGCGGTGTGCGGGCTTTTCCTTGCAGTGGCTTCTCTTGTTGCGGAGCATGGGCTCTAGGCACACGGGCTTCAGTAGTTGCAGCACACGGGCTTAGTATTTGTGGCATGTGGGCTGTAGGGCACACAGGCTTCAGTAGTTGTGGCATGCGGGCCGTAGAGTGCAGGCTCAGTAGTTGTGGTGCACAGGCTTAGTTGTTCCACAGCATGTGGGATCTTCTTGGACCAGGGCTCGAACCCGTGTTCCCTGCATTGGCAGGTGGATTCTTAACCACCGCGCAACCAGGGAAGTCGTCCCTCTCCCTCACTTTTAAGGACAGTTTTGCCAGATACAGGATTCTTGGTTGATAGATTTTTTTTTCCTTTGGCACTTTGAATATCAGTCCACTGCCTTCTGGCCTCCAAAGTTTCTGATGAGAAATCTGATCATCTTATTGAGGATCCCTTGTGTGTGACAAGTCGTTCATCTCTTGCTTCTTTCAAAATTCTCTTTGGCTTTTGACATTCTGATTTTAATATGTCTCAGTGTGGGTCTCTTTGAGTTACCCTTCTTGGAGTTTGTTGAGCTTCCTGTCTTTCATCAGATTTGGGAAGTTTTCACCCATTATTTCTTCAGATATTCTCTCTGTCCTTTTCTCTGTCTTTTCTCCTTCAAGGACTCCCACAATGGGTATGTCCGTCTGCTGGATGATGTTCCACGGGTTCCTTAAGGCTCTGTCGCTCTTCTTCAGTTTTTTTTTTCCTTTGTGTTACTCTGATTGATAATTTCCATTGTCCTATCTTCAAGTTTACTGACTATTACTTCTGCCTGCTGAAATTTGCCTTTGAATCCCTCTGGTGAATTTTCATTTCAGTTATTATGTTTTTCAGCTCTGAAAAAAATTTTTGGTTTCTTTTTAGATTTTCTACCTCTTTATTGATATTGACATTTTGTTCATACATCATTTTCTTGACTTTTTCCATAACTTCCTTTAGTTCTTTCAGCATGAAGACTGTTGTTTTAAAGTCTTTTTCTAGGAGATCTGCTGCCAGGTCTTTTTCAGGGACAGTTTCTATTGGTTTATTTTTCTCGTTTGAATGGGCCATACTCTCCTGTTTCTTTGTATGCCTTGTGATTCTTTTTTTGTTGAAAACTGGACATTTGAATTTAATAACATGATCACTCTGGAAATCAGATTCTCTCTCTGTCCCAGAGTTTGCTGGTTTTTGGTTTTGTTTTTAATGGTTGTAAGCTGTCTCTGTGCCAGGGATAAGCCTGAGGTGTAAACCTGGGGACTTATCAGGTCTTTCCTTAGCCTGTGCCTTCCCCTGAGCATGTGCAGTGACTTTCTAGTTTCCTTCATATATGCAGTTGCTTTGGAACGCCCTAGTCTCCAGTGTCTGGCTCCCAAGAGGGGAAAGAGAGGAAAATGAAGGGAGGAGGGGGAGAAAAGGTACCGGTCCTTTAAATACCCTGGAAGTCACTTCAGCCAGAGGGGGAGGGCCTTGCAACAATGGGAAGAGGTGCTACAGTAATGGCCTGCAGCCTCTTTGACTGCCCCCCTGTGATCAGAAGCAGCAATCAGATCCCCAGTATTTGGAAGACAGGGTCCTTCTTGTTCATCCTGACTCCCGCAAGCTGTCCAAGAACATGTGCACCGCTGCCTGCCATGGTACTTGAGGGGTGAGGTGCAGATGGCGGCCATTGTGCCAAGAGCTAAAATCGACTAAAATCAAAATTAAGGTAATTTCCTGTCCAGGTCCTCCCCTGGAAGTTGCAAGTCTTCAATAGACTCCAGAGTTCCAAAATACTTACATCAGATAGATTCTGCCAGTGTAACTGTTGTCCCTGTAGGAAGATAGATTTCTGGTGCTCTGCCATCTTCTCTGAATCCTCTCTGTAATATATATTTTATAGAGGTGGAATTCAGATGTGCAGTTAAGCCACTTTAATATATTTTTAGGAAATCAGATTATAAAACAATGTTCAGCATGATCTCAGGTTCGTAAATACATGTGCATAGAAAAGAGATTGGAAGGAAATATATGAAAATGTGAATAATGGTCATTGCTGAGTGGTAGCATTACAGTTTCTATCTTCTGCCTACGTTTCTGTAATCTCCAAATAGGTTTCTGTAACTTCTTAATAATCAGAAGGAAACAATCCTTGAAAAAAGAGCAAAGACCTCTTCCAGGTGTGTATTCAACTCACAGTGTATTCAGCGACAGTGGTCCTCAGTTGATTTCAGAGGAGTTAGTAGCTTACCTGTACCCCTTTCCCTATATATTGAATAAAAAACAAAACTTTCTTACCTTACAGGTAAATGTCAAAGAGCTTGATCCCAAATATGCTCATGTCCAAGTCACTTATGTGAAGCCCTACTTTGATGACAAAGAACTCACAGAAAGAAAAACTGAGTTTGAAAGAAACCATAATATCAACAGATTTGTTTTTGAGGCTCCTTATACATTATCAGGCAAAAAGCAAGGCTGTATAGAAGAACAGTGCAAACGCCGTACGATCTTGACTAGTAAGTGGGACTTGGCATAACTTCTTTGTTTGACATGGTCATTTTTTGATGCACACAAGCAGCAGCTGGTCAGCAGGAAAATGTAACTGAAATTTTAATCATTCATTGTTCTGCTGTTCAGTCACTAGCTTGCACAAACATGGCTACGTTATAAACCATTGGTTTCCCATATGTAATTCATGATTGCTCTGAGTCATCTCATAAAGAGAATTTCTCCCTCAATCCTGAAGTAATAAGGCGCCTATCTGGTCCCTAAGGTATTTTCCAGACAAAGCATGGGGAGAATTGAGCACAATAGATTTTTTTCTTTAATTTGCCTGTTTGATTTACTATCTTAAAAACTCATTTGTTCAACCTTAACATTTAATAGCTTCAAACTCGTTTCCATATGTGAAGAAGAGGATCCCTATAAACTATGAACAGCAGATTAATTTAAAGCCAATTGATGTTGCTACTGATGAAATAAAAGATAAAACTGCAGAGCTGCAGAAGCTTTGCTCTTCTGCTGACGTGGACATGATTCAGCTCCAACTTAAATTGCAGGGCTGTGTTTCAGTGCAGGTATGTTGGTTGCTAAACATGTATTAAATGTTTCTTGACGTTCCTCTTGCTTTCATAAGGGCAAAGAGCAAGCATTAATTGTAATTGTCTGTTATACTCTTACTGAGTGCAAAAACCTGTACATTTTTGATTAAGTTAATAAAGAAATTATGTTCAATTTCCATAAATTTTGTGTTATGTCAGAGAACTTTAACATAAATCCCTCTGACTATAGCCAAGCCCTATATTTACATAGCAGAAATCATTAACTAACTTATTAGAATATTACCTTTGCAGATGATTTGCTTTAGTTAATCTTTTTCAAATAAATTTATAGTAAGAATAGTAAATATGTTTCTCAGATGTGGATTTTTAACATACTGGTTTTCTTTAAAAAGAGAATTGTAAAAATTACGTTTTGGTTGTATTCTAACAGCTCTCTCATTTTTCTCCTTTTGTAATTTAGGTAAACGCAGGGCCGTTAGCATATGCAAGGGCTTTCTTAAATGACAGTCAAGCTAGCAAGTATCCACCTAAGAAAGTAAATGAGTTGAAAGACATGTTTAGGTAAGTGCTTCGTAGTTTTCAGATTATTCCTCTATTCTTTTACTCCATTTTCTTCTTAAAAGAAACCAAAATATTCACCAAATAATGTCCCTCCAAAAAAGGACATTCTCTGTTCTCTTTCACAACATTTAAGTGACCTTCTAATGGTACTTTAAGTAGTAAGGAAATGTGTGATTTCTTTCTTGCTGCAGAACTTCAACAATGTCCTAGTGACCCAAGACATTAAATATGACAAGTTACTGTATTGCTTTGGAGATTGTGACGCAAACACAAGCCTACATTCATTACGTGATGTCCTCCTTTGCCCGACTGACCTTATGTTACAGCTTTTCAGACCATTTAGGGTAGGAAGGGCTAGATAAGCTTGCTTCTATCCATGTCCTTAGTTCCACTTGGATTCTTCCAGTCTAGGGCATGTGATGTCTTGTCTGGACTGAGCATCCCTCTAAGCTAGGGCATGTCTGAATGCTCTTGCGTTGGAAAAAAAATCTGTTTCATATAGAAAAAGAGTTTACATTCAGAATAAGAGAGACAGCTGAGTAAATAGGCTAAGGAGAAAGATGATAGCTTATCCGCTCATTTGCTTCAGACTTATAACATTTACTTTTCCTGTCTCTGTTATCAGCTGTTTCAGGTTACAGAGTAACCAGTAGTCATTCATTCAATAATTATTAATGCCTGGCATGTATGAAAAGATTCTACTAGTTGCTATGACAGGGATACAAAACAAGTGGGCAGTGAGGTACTTTGTCCCCTGAGACTTACCTTTTAATTATGGACATTAAACATAAACACATGAAATCATGGAGAAATGCTTTTATGATAACTCATCAGCTCTCTGTCCCAACTCTTACCAGCCCAGGGCAGATACTTCATGCCTATAGCACCCAGCACTGTACTGGGTGCATAGTTAGTACCAAAAAAATATTTTTGAATGAATGACATTATCTACAGATGTAAACTAATGTTAGCACAACTTGAGCTGATAGCGTATCAAGTAAATGACTGAGCAAGTAGGCTTCCTAGAGGGTATATGTTTTGAGCTGGATTTTGAAGGAGGTAAGAAAGCAGAAGAGAAAGATGGAAAAGAAAGAAAAAGATATTTCAGACTTAGGAGATGGCATTAGCAAAAGCACAGTGAAAATACAGGATTCTAATCTTCCTTGTAGGCAAGCCGTGGTTAAAGGAAATATTAAATTGTCGGTGAGACTTTCCAGGAATAAACAACAAAAACTTCATCTTTGGGGCCTTCCCTGGTGGCGCAGTGGTTGAGAGTCCGCCTGCCGATGCAGGGGACACGGGTTCGTGCCCCGGTCTGGGAGGATCCCACATGCCGCGGAGCGGCTGGCCCCGTGAGCCATGGCCGCCGAGCCTGGGCGTCCGGAGCCTGTGCTCCGCAGCGGGAGAGGCCGCAGCAGTGAGAGGCCCGCGTACCACAAAAAAAAAAAAAAAAAAAAAAAAACTTTATCTTTGATCTTCATCCACAGGAAGTTCATCCAAGCATGCAGCATTGCACTGGAACTAAACGAGCGGCTAATTAAAGAGGATCAGATCGAGTACCATGAAGGGCTAAAGTCAAATTTCAGAGACATGGTAAAAGAATTGTCTGACATTATTCACGAGCAGGCAAGTATTAGGGTGGTTGAAAACGAAAACGTGATCCGGGGTCCGTCGAGAGTTACTTAACAAATCTATTAGTTTGAAATGTGTTACCTTGAAATTAGTATGTTATTTTAGAATTTGCTCATATCTTCTTTAATCATTTAAATGATGTAATACAAATGAAATTGGAAGCAATTACTGACAGTTGCTTTAGCAGGTGCTTCAGATAATAAATCATTTGGTTCTTTGTGCCGCAGAGCCATTAGAAGCGAGTAGCTGAGCGAGTCTGAGTTGATCTACTATGAACATGGATAAGAATCTCTCAAGAAGGGTCCTAGAGAAGTGAAATGATCGGCTCAGTAGCCAAATCCCTAGATGAATACTCCTGTCTTAGCTGTAAGAAACTAGATACAGGTGGCCCTCCCTGTCTGCAGGTTACACATTCACGGATTCAACCAACTGCAGATCGAAAATATTTGAAAAACAAAATTCCAGAAAGTTCCAAAAAGCAGAACTTGAATTTGCTGCACATAGGCAACTCTTTACGTAGCATTTACCTTGTATTAGGTATTATAAACAATCTAAAGATGATTTAAGGTATCGGGGAGGGTGTGCATAGGTTATATGCAAATACTGTGCCGTTTTATGTAAGGGGCTTGAGCATCCTCAGATTTTAATATCTGTGCAGGGGGCAGTGGTCCTGGCACTAATCCTCCAAGGTTACCAAGGGACAACTATACCATCATTTAGGTGAGATCCTGAGTGAGTTCCAAAATTCAGGAATCGTCTTAATACTCATACAGCCAGTTCTCTTTTCATAAAACCTAGCATTTTAATTTATGACTGAGTGTTAATGACAATTACAGCTAACTTAGTAGAACACAATCTGAAAAATACAGAGGCAAAGATCTGCTCACCACTTACAGCCAAATTATGTCATGATTAAGTAGTTATGACTTTCATATCCCTACTTACCTAAAACCAGAGTACTCCTGAATTGTCCTCGTAAATGTCATTCCTACATTGGGGTCCTGAAATCTGTGTTTACAACCACTCTAGACGTGGACTGTCACTCAAGTATTTTAATATCTCCAACACAGTTGTAAAAGTCACAGCATGATGGTCTGGTCCCTCAGTGCGTGAGCCTGTTAAGCTTATCATAAAGTCTCCTTAATTTCCTTACTAAGGAAAACAGCCAATAAGATAAATGTTTGCTTCGGAAACTCTTCAAACTCTCAATTTTTTTAAGAAACTAAGGCTCCTTAAAAGAAACAAGGACAACTACAACCCTTTAGAGAACCCGTTCTTAACACTGGTCCCAGAAAGGAGAACCTCATCTGTCCTGGTATCTGCATTTCATTGATTGCTTGGCACTCCCCTGTGTGAGACCATCACTCAAAGGGTGTACTTACAAATGGACTTACAAATAGTGGTTAGTTCCCAAAGAACTGCAGTGTAATGATGGGTGAAAGAAGAGATGTTTCGAGGAAAACAAAAGCTAGTTGACTCCAGGCTCTACCTCTCTGAATTTAGCATGTATGCTTTCTCTTAGAAAGGACTAGGGGAAATTTAGTTACCATTAGCCCGAGGTTGCACTGAGTGACCAGGAGTCTAATTTTCTAACCATGGTCATCTTCTCAGTATGGAGAAGCCAGTCAGCCAGACGTTCATCGTCCCATCTGTTCAATGAGACGAGTCACCCCAGTCTCCTACTCTCCCGTTCTCATGGCTGGGAATTTTGTTGGCCTGAGGAGTCTGGAATCAGTGATCTGTTTCTTCTTTTCGCCATCTTTACTTCCGTTAGCCCACTTAGGAGTGAGTGCAAACTGTTCCAAGGCATACCTTTGCTGCTCAGTTTTCAGAGGCCCATTTTGGCCTCCTTCCCAAAGCAGCCAGGTGATCAGGGCTAGGAAGATAGGGAATCATTCCACTTCCTTTATTGTCTGTATCTCAAGCTCAGCCCCTGAGTACAGTGGGTACTTCACCATCACTGTTCTGGGGTATACTTGAATCAAATAAGACCACATAATTTATTCCTAGAATCTGGCCAGTTTATGGGGTTTTGTTCTCCATAGTCCATAGGAAAAAAACAGCAAAAACTCCTCCTTCACAAAAGATATAAAACAATTACATCATTTTAAGCCAATGTGTATTATATGACAGTTATGTAATTTGCATGCAACCGTATGACCTAGCATTGAGCTCTAATTTATTCAACTTGAAAGCAGATCGTTCAATTCACTGCTATTACTGTGATCAAGATATTTAGAGTAGTAGTTTTATAAAGTTATTTTTTCCTGTGTTTAAAAAGAAGAAGTTCAACTGAGTAAATTTTAAAGATCTTGGCTTTATTCGGTGATTCATGAGTCGGGCAGCATCCCATCTAGCAGACAGAAAGGAGCTCCGAAGAGTTTTACGAAATGGAAGACTTTTACAGGTAGAACGAGGCAGGACAAGTTACTCTAGAAGAGAGCTGATTCTTTCAGGCAAGGTCATCTTCCTACGGGGCACAGCAAGGGTCTGTCAGGTGGAGTACCTCACCAGTGCCAACCAGGTAATTCCAGACTGAAAGTAATGCACATACTTTCTTGACTGCTTAAGATTACCTGCCTAGAAAAGGCTGAAACTGCAATTAGGTTAGGTATTAAGTCTCAGGTGATGTGGGCTTAGCGCAAGTGACTCCATTTTGGGCCTCTCATCTCTTTTTTAACACCGTCAAGTGTGGATTTTACAAACCTGCTGTCTTATTTCCCACCTGTCTCTCTCATTTAATTTCCATGAACCATGGCTATTTTGTTTAGTTCTAGGGACCAGTAGTTTAGACCTTTGATATTATATATTGATAGCTAACCAAGAAAAATCTTAGTTTCTATTGGTTTATATTTATGCACGCTGTACTGTCATAACGCCTCATATTCAGGTGTGCCTTACTTTGGGCAAATGTTGACTTTATAGTGAATTTTTGTAAGTCAATATTTCCTATTAGATTCTCATATAAAAGAGAGCCTTTTTTTAGTCATACACTTTGAGACATATTATTTCCCAAAGGAGAACATAATAATACAAAATAAGATAAAATATAGCTGTGCATTGCAAATTATCTATGAGCTCCATAAATGATTACTTGACAAAAAGATACGGCCTGGATATCCTTGGCCCTTTTCAGTGTAATCTGTTACACTATACTAAAATATAAAGTCCTTTTAAAAACTTCTTCAAGCTTTTGACTTTTTAAAAGGGATGTATATCACCTTAAAACTATTAATTGCAGGTCTTAATTAGATAGAGTTGGTGGTGGCCATTGTAGTTCTGTTTGGTCTGTTTTGTTCATGATGAATGCTCTATTTTCTCGTCACATCTGACAGTTGTGGATAATCAATCATCTCTTAAACCTCTCCTGTGCTTTCAGATTAGTGTCATGAGTTACGATTTTTATAAGTGGAAATTTCTCTATTACGGACTTTATATAAGACATGATTTGTAGCAACACAAATGATATGACGCGTTGCTGCCACTGTAAACTAATTTGCAGGCTTAATACTGAAGTTTCAGAGCTAACTTGAGAACCCAGTATTGAAAGCTTGAGACCTAAATTGGGACAGTATAGTAAAGAGGTTGGATGTGATGTGTACGCTATTCTTTTCTTCTATCTAATCCACGCATGAGATCTCTGTTGCTTTTGAGCACACAAAATAGTTAATTTGGGGGACTTCCGTGGCAGTCCAGGGGTTAAGACTTCACCTTCCAACGCAGGGGGTGCGGGTTTGATCCCTGGTCGGGGAGCTAAGATCCCACATGCCTCGCGGCCAAGAAAACAAAACATAAAACAGAAGCAACACTGTAACAAATTCAATGAAGACTTTAAAAATGGTCCATATCAAAAAAAAATCTTTTAAAAAAGTGGATAATTTTTAAAACATCTATACTAATATGTATGTTTATATGTTTATGGGATATAAAATTTATGCTTATGAAGTTTATTTCCAAGAAAAGTCTTCTGTATTAATTAGCTTATATAATTATAGTATGTATTTAGAAATGTTCACTTATTTTCTCTTCACTTAATATTATTTCCCAAGTCTCCAGGGAAGGAGCATGGGTATCTGCATGTTTGAAAAGTCCCACAGTGATCCTGAGAACCACTCTTAGAAGATGATCTATAAACTTGTATCCAAGAGTCCACTGTTTAGGGCTCTTGTTATGACCATCGGTTAAAAAAATTGTTTTAAAGATTGTATTACCTCTCGCTTTCTGTTGAATTTTGCATTTTACAGCCTTCTGTGTTTCTTAATGAGTAACCAGATCTTTTCTGCTTTTTTGATATGCTGCCTTTGTAATACAGCTTTGAAGACTTGAGTCGGTAATGTTTTTCTTTGCTCTTTCTGCTTTATGTCATTTTAAATAGCTAAGTGTCAGTGATAAATTGAAACATGCCTGCGATTTCATATACACATACTTCTTGGGCAGCGGCTACTTTACCTCATGATAAACATGCAGATTTCTTTCGTTTCAGATCTTACAAGAAGACACAATGCATTCTCCCTGGATGAGCAACACATTACATGTATTTTGTGCGATTAGTGGCACGTCGAGTGACAGAGGTTATGGTTCCCCAAGATACGCTGCTGAGATATGAGGACATGCAGATGTAAAGTGATAACAAGAACGAACCTTCTCAGGAATATTTTGAGCTGTGCAAATGTTAAAATTTAAAGATTTGATATACATGGAGTGTTTTCTTCCTGACACCAAAATTTTCATGCTTTCAAACAGGGTGCTTACATATTTGTAAATATTTAAGCAACTTGAAAGTGCCTGGAAAATTGCACCACTGTGCTTGGTTTGTACTTTTTTAGGTAAATCTATATACTGAGAAGTAGAGCTCAAAAACGTTAATTCGATTTGCTCAACTGTTGCTTAAAATAATAATGGTACTGTGTAAAATTGTATAATGGAACACAATAAAAGGTAAAACTTATTTGTAATTAGAAGTGAAGGAAATAATACTTTGAACTTAGCATTTTTCTTGGCAGGAAGCTAAATTTATTATCATACTAATCCTTGGAGGAAAAAAATTGATAAAATTTCCATAAAACATGGATACTTCCAATTGGGGAGATGATTTGAAATCTTGCCTACCAGTGGTCAAGACTGGGCTAAGGGAAGCAAAAGCATTATTTAAAAAGGAAAATTTCACACAGAAAGGATATATATAGAAATACCAGGGTTACCGATCCTTCAAGTTTTGATCCAGTGATGCTAGGTACTCCAGTTGGTCTCTCTGACATACAAGACAAGGGACTCCTTTGTGGCATAGGTTTGCCTAGCAAGCAACGTTCGTTGCCAGAGCTTCATCAGCTGAGGCTATCTATAGAGCTAAACAAAACATCTCTGAGATTTGCAGTCAGTGCAACTCCAAAGCTTTAGCAGCAGATTCTGAGGGTAGGGATTTTGTAATGATCATTTACAATGATCATCAGTTTACAAGTGTAACAAGCATTTCGATAGAACTTGATGGTTGCAGCGTTTCTTGGGTGGGTATACGTAAGCACCACAGATTTAGCAACTGCTAGCTAGGGATTACATCTCTAACTATGAAGAAGCCTCAGACTACCTAAATAATTCAGGAGAAACCAAGATGCGAAGAACTTTTTTAGCTTGAATTATCCATATAATTTTGGCTGCCTTTCATGTAAACTGTAAGTCCTAGACTTATTTTTCTTATGTAGTTTAGCTTATTTTACAGACCAAAAAGAAAAGGGAAAACAGACACTGAAATATATAAATGGGTCGCATGGAGCCTTGGCTTTTTAAATGCTTTGTGATCGAGTAAACCTTAGAGATTATGCACCTGGCTTGGCCATTTTTCTTTACATGTCATTTTTAAGCTTTCAGGGGAGCATGAAATTATTTATGAAATGTTAATTTTGTATTTAATAGGGGATTCAGAAATTTCAGAGGCAGTTTGTAATATCTTGGGGTAACTGGAGAGTTAGTTTCACCTTTAAAGTGATTATATTTGGCATGTATATGTAAAGAACCGTCACCTAGAGAGAGTGCTGCCTTCTGAGAATGAGGCATCTTGGGGAAACTTCAGTGCTCTTTTGTCAATAACTAGTCCCTATCATGTCCCCCAGCAAAGTATTGTGCCCTGTGGATAATTTTTTAAAGTATAACAAATGACCCCTGCCCTCAAGGAACTTGCAATCTAGTTGAGGAGGCAAGATAGACACAAAATTAAATAAAACAAGAATTAACAATATAAGACAAGAAAAGTTGTATATGAACATTGACAAATGAAGGACATTGCCCATAGCTCATATCACATTCAAGGAATGAGAGGCCACTGTGAGTTGTAATGTTCAGGGATGGTTTCATGGGCAAAGTAAGCCTTGAACAGGCTTTCAAAGGTGAGAGGGTGTTCTAGGCAGGAGGAACATCATAAGCAAAGGTGCAAAAAGAATTTGCAGAAGTTCAGGGGATGATGAGACCAGTTTTGTTCAGGGGAGTAGTGGAAAGAAAGTTCAGACCTAGATTTTGGAAGGCCTTGAATACCAGGCTAATAGTATTTGGACTTTAGTCAGTAAATATGAGGGAGCCAGTCCAGGTTTTTGAACAGAGAGACTACTTGATTAAATGTTATTTTTAGTTATGAGTCCATAAACCCATAGATGTGAACAAGAATGGAGAAGAAAGGACAAGTACAAGAGGTACTCTGTGGAAAGACTGGACATGACTTATTGATGGCTAAGGAGAAAAGAGGAAAAGTTAAAGAGAATTTTGTGTTCTGTGGCCGGTGAGTTCTCCGGGTCATAGCACAATTTCACTAGATTTTTTTTCACCAACTTTCAGACTGAGGTCAGAAAGCTATATACAGAGAACAAGGTGGGCTAGACTAGAGAAAGCCAGCAAAATGTGTTTTGAAACACTGCATATATTAGGTGTTACTGTTTATATAGTTTAATGATTTCATGAAGTGATTTGGCCTCTACAGATTAATTCACATCAAAGAGTACGTTTCTGCTCTACTGATTATTTTTGCAGTTAAGCTTGAGTCCAATTTCCCCTGGAAGCTCTTGTTTTGATAGTCTTTGACCATATTGTAAAATGTGAATAAAGTCACCATTAGTCGTGTTAGTTTATCACTACGGTGATAACCCGTAGAGAAAGTAAGCAATTCCATGTAGGTTTTCCAAGTAACCAGTGCACCAATGGCATCCTGTCTCTAGATGGGATTGTTATTGTTACCATGTGATTTGACTGCTTATAATAAATACTGTCAACGTCTTTTTAGAAATGAAACAAAGAGCAGCAGTGGTAGCAACAGCCTTGGAACCTTGACCAACGTATCATAGAACTAGAGATGACTCACTGGTTAATTAACAAACTAAATAGGTCAGCATAATAAAAACCCAAGCCTTTGATTATAAATACTGGTTTATCTGAAATGCAGAACCTGAGCAATGTATTGGAATAATAGGAAATTTCCAAACTCTTGAAAATATTAATAATCAGACACATATCTCAGGCTTGTGATCCACAAAATGGTGGGCTACCTTCAGTCTTGTTCTAACAGTATATACTACTTCAGCTATCAAAACACAGGGGGGAAAAAAAAACCACAGGGGAAAGGAGTAGAGTAAAAGGGGTGGGGAGTGTGGGTTTGTGTAGCAAGGCTATTCCCCTGTCCTGGGATTTGGCCTGTAAGAGTGCTTTGTTCATCTGGTTCCGGTTACAATAATGCTTTTTTTCTAGTCCCAAACCACATAATGGTTACTTGAAGAAAAGTGTATATGTATGTTTATCCAACTCCTGATTGAACTTGTGACTAAATCCTTCAAAGATTTTGCCTCTGTGTATGGCATCTTAAAACTTTTTCCAACATGCTTTTTTCTCTTCTGTTTTCCTCTTTATTGAGCTGTGGTTCACACACCGTACAATTCACCCATTTGAAATGCACAATTCAAGGGTTTTTAATATATTCAGAGTTGTGCAACCATCACCACAATTAATTTTAGAAATTTTCATCACTCCAAAAAGAAACCGCATACACATTAGCAGTCACTCCCCATTGCCCACCAACCAGCCCCCAGCCCCTGATAATCAGTAATCAACTTTCTGTATCTATAGATCTGTATTCTGGACATTTCATATAAATAGAATCACACAATATGTGGCCTTCTGTGGAACTGGCTTCTTTCATTTAGCATAATATTCTCAAGGCTCATCCATGTTGTAGCATGTATCAGAATTTCACTCCTTTTTAATGGCTGAATAATATTCCTTTTGTATGGATACACCACATTTAATCTGTTCATCAGTTGATGGACATTTGGGTTATTTTCGCTTTGGGGCTATTATTGATAATGTTGCTATGAACACTCACGTACAAGTTTTTGTGTGGATATGTTTTCATTTGTCTTGGGCATATACCTAGGAGTTGAATTACTGGGTCATATGGTAACTCTACGTTTAGCCTTTTGAAGGACTGCCAGACTGTTTCCCGCAGCAGCTGCACCACTTTACAGTGCCGGCAGCAGTAAATAAGGATTCCAATTTCTCAGTATTCTCAGCAACACTTGTTATTATCTGCCTCTTTGATTATCACCTTCCTGGTGGGTGTGAAGTGGTATCTCATTGGGGTTTTTGTTTGCATTTCCCAAATGGCTAATGAAGTTGATCATTCTTTCATGTGTTTGTTGACTGTTTTTATGTTCTTTGGAGATAAATCTATTCAGATTCTTTACCCATTTTTAAACATTGGTTTGTCTTTTTATTGTTGAGTTGCAAGAGTTCTTTATATGTTCTAGATGCAAGTTCCTTATCAGATATATGATTTCCATATATTTCTGTGGGTTGCCTTTTCACTTTTGTAATGGTGTCCTTTGAAACAAAAGTTTTTAATTTTGATGAAGTCCAATTTATCTATGTTTTCTTTTGTCGCTCGTGCTTTGATATTGTACCTAAGAAGACATTGCCTAATCCAAGGTCGTGGAGATTTATACCTACATTTTCTTCAAGTTTGGGAGTTTTAACTCTTACTTTTAGGTCTTTGATCCATTTCAAGCTGGGTTTTGTATATGGTGTGAGATAGGGGTTCAAATTCATTCTTTTGCATGTGGCTATCCAATTGTCTTCGTACCATTTGTTGAAAAGACTATTCTCCCCCATTGAATTGTCTTGGCACCCTTTTCAAAAATCTATTGACCATAAATGTACAGGTTCATTCTGGGCTCTCAGTTCTTTTCCACTGATCTATATGTCTGTCCCTATGCCAGTACTGCATTGTCTTGATTACTGTAGCTTTGTAGTAAGTTTTTAAATTGGGAAGTGCAGGTCCTCCAACTTCATTCTTTTTCAAGACTGTTTTGGGTATTCTGGGTCCCTTGCATTTCCATATGAATTGTAGACTCAGATTGTCAATTTTTGCAAAAAAAAAAAAAAAAAGTAGCTGGGATTTTGGTAGAATTTGCTGTGAATCTGTAACTTAATTTGGGGAATATTGCCACCTTAACAATATTAAGTGTCCCAATGCATGAACGTAGGATGTTTTTCTGTTTGCTTTGGTTGTCTTTAATTTCTTTCAAAAGTGTTTTATGGTTTTCAGTTTAGAAGTATTACACCTCTTTTGTTAAAGTTATTCCTTAGTATTTTATTCTTTTTAATGCTATTGTAAAGGGAGTTTTTTTTTAATTTCATTTTCCGATTGTTCATTGCTAGTTTATAGAAATACAACTGACTTTCGTATATTGACCTTGTATCCCGAAACCTTGCTGAATGCATTTATTAGCTTTAATAGTTTTTTATGGGTTCTTTAGTGTTTTCTATATAAGATCATGTCATCTGAAAATACAGATAGTTTTACTTCTTCCTTTCCAATCTTGATTCTTTTTATTTCATGTTCTTACTTGGCACTTGGCTAGAACTTCCAGTAGAATGTTAAATAGCAGTGGTGAGAGCAAGACATCCTTGTCTTATTACTGATCTTTGGGAGAAAGCTTTCAGTCTTTCACCTTTAAGTATGGTATTAGCTGTGGGGTTTTCATAGATGCTTTTTATCAGGTTGAGGAAGTTCCCTCCAACATGACTTGCATCTGTTTTCCAATTCAGTTTCCCCTGGTAATCATATGATCCGTGTATGACATATAGGGAAATAGATGAGAAATGGTTAAGAAATGTACTCAAGATACACATCAAATTAGAGATGAAACCAAGGCATCCTAACTCACAGTCCACAGTGTTTTCAACTATTATATACTATTTCCTATAGTCTCCTGCTGCAACTTCCTGCAGCTTTCTACAGAGACCAAAAAAGTTTCCTCTCTTCCTTTTTACTAAGAAGGTAAGCTCCGTAAAGGTAGAGTCTGTGTCTAATTTTTCACCTCTGTTTCCCTGAAATCTAACAGTACCTGCCACAGAATAAGTACTTGAGCAGTCTCTAGGAAATAAAACCAGTTTAGATAAGCAGATACTTCCAGGGCTTTTATTATGATCAAGGCAATATCCCAGCCCTCAGAGACAGTGCGGTTGAGAAGGTAAGACATAGTCACATAAGGTACGAAGAGGTCTGATAATAGCAAATCAGTGGTAATGGCAAGTGCTTGAATAGGCAGAGCTTTTCTAGATGTAGAACAAAAAAGGCTTCGTGGAGGAGCACAGCCTTGAAGGATGGGTAGGAACTAGCGTGTGTGCATTAAGGAAGTACCTTAGGCAGGGTTTTTAACAAGAAGTTGAAAAATTAACTTCATTTTAATTATTATGTGAACTCTGACCATTAAAACCAATCAGTATCACAAGGGACATACAAAGGAAAAATAATAGAGTGCATGTAAAATCGAGTAACATTCTCTATCTTGTTTTTCTGACTCCCTTATCCTTTTGTCTTAGATTCAAACTGAGTAAATCAGTCTTTTCTTTTTGTCTAGAAAATGTATGCTCTAGTTGCTTCATTCCCATGTTAGAAAACTTTTTCAGCCTACCTCAGTCAAGTTCTGACCAACAAGTCTGTTCTTTGTGCATTGTAGCATTTTGTAATAATCACTGCTTCAGTAGATCTCCTAGTTGAGAGTCTTAAAAAGCTCTGGACCCCTCATTCTGCATGCCGAGTGTGTGCCTCTGATAGGAAACCAATGGAAGCTATCACGTGAGCAGTTCAGGGCTGCAATCCGTGAACTGTAGACCATTCGCCACAATTTTTTTTTTTTTTTTTTTTTTTTTTTTTTTTTGCGGTACACGGGCCTCTCACTGTTGCGGCCTCTCCCGCTGCAGAGCACAGGCTGCGGACACGCAGGCCCAGCGGCCATGGCTCACGGGCCCAGCCGCCCCGCGGCGTGTGGGATCCTCCCAGACCAGGGCACGAACCCGCGTCCCCTACATCGGCAGGCGGACTCCCAACCACTGCGCCACCAGGGAAGCCCTCGCCACAATTTT